CAGGATCCAGATGGGGCTGGAGTACCAGACTGTACACGTGAGCAGGGCAGATGCACACTCTGACTGTTTGGGAGCGCACAGGCTGAAAAGCAAGCACATTTTTTTCTTCATTAAAAAGATTACTACTTTGACCAGGCAATGCATACAATGGGAACTTATTCCAAAGAAACGGAGAGACAGTGAGTGAACCTCTTCAGTATAGTCTCACCTCAGCCTCCCCTAGTGCATCCACATGGTTGTCATGTATGTGTTCATGTCTCTGGTGACCTGTGTTAGGAAGGAGAGTGGCTGTGCTGTGCACACGTGTTTACCAGGCACTCAAAAATTGTCAAATTAATGGTTCAGTGTTTTGTGTCTTAAGACACTTTCTGCTATGCAATTATATTTTAAAAATCTGCCTCCTCAGGGCCGGTGCTGTGGTGTAGCAGGTAAAACCACTGCTTGCAGTGCTGGCATCCCATATGGGCACCAGTTCGAGGCCTTGCTGCTCCACATCCGATCCAGCTCTCTGCTGTGGCCTGGAAAAGCAGAGGAAGATGGCCCGGGTAGTTGGGCCCCTGCACCAACGGATGACCTAGAGGAAGCTCCTGGCTCCTGGGTTCAGATTGGTGCAGCTCCAGCTGTTGTGACCAATTGAGGAATGAACCAGAGGATGGAAGACCTCTCTCTCTCTCTGCCTTTCCTTCTCTCTCTGTGTAACTGTGACTTTCAAATAAATGAATAACTCTTTTTTTAAATATCTGCCTTTTTTTATTTAAAGATTTATTTATTTGAGAGGCAGAGTTACTAAGAGACGGAGACAGAGGGAGGTCTTCCATCTGCTGGTTCACTTCCCAAATGGCTGCAGCGGCTGGAACTGGGCCAGTCTGGAACTAGGAGCCAGGAGCTTATTCCGGTTCTACACAGAGAAAGGAGGAGAGGCAGAAAGAGAAAGAGAAGGTCTTCCATCCGCTGGTTAACTCCCCAATTGACCGCAACAGCTGGAGCCGTGCTAATAGGAAGCCAGGAGCCAGCAGCTTCTTCTGGGTCTCCCACGTGGGTGCAGGGTCCCAATGGTTGGGCCATCTTCTGCTTTCCCAGGCCATAGCAGAGAGCTGGATCGGAAGAGAAGCAACCAGGATTAGAACCTGTGAAGCAACCAGAATTAGAACCTGTGCCCATATGGGATGCCAGCGCTTCAAGCCCGGACTTTAACCCACTAAAAAACAGCGCCGGCCCCTCTTCCTGTATCTTTTTTAAATGTGTGACTTCAGGGGAAAGGGGAGAGACTACCCACGTTTCGCATATTCTTTGCATTGCTTTTTCTTTTCTTTTCTTTTCTTTTTTTTTTTTTTTTTACAGATAGAGTTAGAGAAAAAGGTCTTTCTTCCATTGGTTAACCCCCAAAATGGCCACTACTGCCGGCGTGCTGTGCCTATCCGAAGCCAGGAGCCAGGTGCTTCCTTCTGGTCTCCCATGCAGGTGCAGGGCCCAAGCACTTGGGCCATCCTCCCCTCCCAGGCCACAGCAGAGAGCTGGACTGGAAGAGGAGCAACAGGGACTAGAACCCGGTGCCCATATGGGATGTTGGCGCCGCAGGGGGAGGATTAACCAAGTGAGCCATGGCTCCGGCCCCTGCATTGCTTTTAAAAGTATCTGTGGTTAATTGAGGTTCTGTTCTTTGACCTGTTTTTTCAAGTCTTTGTAAAGAATTGAATGAAGCTTATAGGTTTTTAGTTTTAGGCTATATATATATATATATATATTTATTTATTTATTTTAAGATTTTATTTATTTATTTGACTGAGTTACAGACGGTGAGAGAGAGAGACAGAGAGAAAGGTCTTCCTTCCGTTGGTTCACTCCCCAAATGTCCACAATGGCCAGAGCTGCACCGATCCGAAGCCAGGAGCCAGGAGCCTCTTCCTGGTCTCCCACGCAGGTGCAGGGGAACAAGTACTTGGGCCACCTTCCACTGCCTTCCCAGGCCATTAAGCAGAGAACTGAACTGGAAGAGGAGCAATTGGGACTAGAACAGGCACCCACATGGGATGCCAGCATCCCAGGCGGAGGATTAACAATGGCGCCAGCCCCAGACTATATATTTTAAGGATGTACTAGGAAAATGCTGTCAACTAACATCACCAGGAATAGTTTGTCACTATCTTGTGACACTATCTTTTTTTTTTTTTTTTTTTTTTTTTTGACAGGCAGAGTGGACAGTGAGAGAGAGAGACAGAGATAAAGGTCTTCCTTTTCCATTGGGTCAGCCCCCAATGGCCTCTGGGGCTGGCACGCTGCGGCGGGCGCACCGCGCTGATCCGAAGCCAGGAGCCAGGTGCTTCTCCTGGTCTCCCATGGGGTGCAGGGCCCAAGCACTTGGGCCATCCTCCACTGCACTCCCGGGCCACGCCAGAGAGCTGGCCTGGAAGAGGGGCAACCGGGACTAGAACCCGGTGTGCCGGCGCTGCAAGGCGGAGGATTAGCCTATTGAGCCGTGGTGCTGGCTCAACACTATCTTGATATGTATTTTTTTTTAAAACAGCTTTATTGATGTATGTGCTATTATATTACATACCATATAATTCACAATTTTGAAGTGTACCATTCAGTAGTTTTTAGTGTATTTCATTCTTGATATTTTGAATTGTGGAGAAAGAAAAATAATTATCCCTCAGTTTTTCTGGGGGATTGGTTCCAGGAGTTACCTCTTCTGCCATAGGTGCCAGGTTTTCAAGTCACTTGTATAAAATGCCATAATATTTGGATGTAACCTTGCATACATTCTCCTATATACTTCAGGTCATTTCTGATTACTTGTACAAGTTGAGAAACCCTAATCTGAAATCTGAAATGCTTCCAAATACAGAATTTTTAAATGTTTATTCAAGAATCATTTATGGCCCGCGCCGTGGCTCAATAGGCTAATCCTCTGCCTGCGACGCCGGCACACCGGGTTCTAGTCCTGGTCGGGGTGCCAGATTCTGTCCCGGTTGCCCCTCTTCCAGTCCAGCTCTCTGCTGTGGCCTGGGAGTGCAGTGGAGGATGGCCCAAGTGCTTGGGCCCTGCACCTGCATGGGAGACCAGGAGAAGCACCTGGCTCCTGCCTTCAGGTCAGTGCGGTGCGCCGGCCGAAGCGGCCATTGGAGGGTGAACCAATGGAAAAGGAAGACCTTTTTCTCTCTGTCTTTCTCTCTCACTGTCCACTCTGCCTGTCAAAAAAAAAAAATTTTTTTTAAATGTGACACTGATTGCTATAGCTTTTTTTTTTCTTTAAGGATTTATTTATTTATTTGAAAGAGTTACACAAGAGAAGAAGAGGCAGAGAGAGAGAGGGGTCTTTACCTGCTGGTTCACTCCCCAGTTGGTGGCAACGGCTGGAGCTGCACTGATCTGAAGCCCCTATATTCTTTACTGGCTATTTAATTTCTAGGAATTTATCGTAGGAAATCATGGGTACACGATTTTATATGTAATCAGTAAATAGTTGAGTATCTACCACTGGTGGTAATCAGGCTGCAGGGGATCCTACCCCAGTGGAGCCTACAATTTTGAGAGAGCCACTCATCAAAACAAAAATGATTGTGACTTTGATCAGTGCTGTGAAGGAATGAACAGGATTTTTCTTTAATAACAACGAAAGAGACGTATTTCAATCAGAAGAGAATGATAGAGCTGCTGTCTGAATCCAACCGTTTATCCGTCTTGCTGCTGTACCAGACTGTCTTGCTGGGTTTCTTAGAAACAGTCAGAACATTACTGATGTTTGCTTTGATACCGCAGGTGTCTGAACTGCAGTTCCCCTTGTACTGTGCAGGATTACTATATGACAACAACCCATTAGTGGCAGATAACACTGACCTATTTCTTGAAGATCTAAAACCTAGGTACATTAGTGAAGAAAATAGATAAATTCTTATTCACAAAACTGATAGGACCCAAAAGTGGGTCTCTGAATGCACGACCTCCTAAGCCAATTGTAATTTTCTGACATCTCTTGCTTAAAACCAAGAAAGTTGGAAGGATTGCGAGGACCCACTCTCAGGGTTTGTGTTTATATTGGAAATTAAGATGATGTGAATCTTTTCCCCTTATGCCACTGGAGTCCTATGTATTCTCTGAGCTTAGGACACTTCCTGACTTAGGATAGTTATATTACCCTTTCAATAAGCGTACTGGATCCAGCCCTTCCTCCCCACTGTGGATGGGTGGCCCTAGAACATAATCTGCTATGTACTAGCATCCTGGCTTTGGAGTTTATGGAAGTAAGAGCTGGGGTGTGAGCTTGGTTTATTACCCAAAAGAATAAGATTGTTATTTGTGTCTTTTTTATTCCTTGATTGTAAAATGCTGATCTCAGAATAGTACAAGGACCAGGGAACCCCCTGTTCTTTTCAGAGGCTTGCACATGTTAGGAGAAGTTTCTGATACATCTCTTCTCCCATAGGATGCTGTTTGCCTAACTGTAAAATGAGAGAGTAATACCATAGGTTTCTAGGGTTGCCAAGGGTAAGCCTCCTTAAATTCTGACGTCTGGCTCTCTCGATGTTCAGGAATTTACTTTTTTGTTTTTTTTTTTTTAAAGATTTATTTGTTTATTTGAGAGAGAGTTACAGAGAGAGTCAGAGAGAAAGGTCTTCCATCCACTGGTTCACTCTTCAAATGCTCACAATGACTGGAGCTGGCTGATCTGAAGCCAGGAGCCAGGAGCTTCTTCTGGGTCTCCCATGTGGGTACAGGGACCCAAGCACTTGGGCCATCTTCCACTGCTTTCCCAGGCCATAGCAAAGAGCTGGATCGGCTACTACAGTGCCAGCCCCTGGAATTTACTTTTTTTTTCACTTTAGGAAGTATGAAAATGTGGAATCATGACTTTCAGAATAAATATGTATATCTTAGGTGATTTTTATCTTTTAGGGAACAAAAATTAATAGTGATCTTGTTAGGAAAAATGTCCTTTTCAAAAAAGTTGTAAACTATTTCAATATAATGGTAACTGAAACTGTTTTTTTTTTTTTTAGAAGTCAATGAAAGGATTCTATTTTGCAAAACTGTACTATGAAGCTAAAGAATATGATCTTGCTAAAAAGTAAGTACCAAACTGTAAGCATGCTTTAGTTTTCTAAAATCAGTGCCTTACTTCATGTTTTTCTTTGAGATAGGTAACCATATTATGTTCTTCAGTAATGTTTTTAAATATATCCTGGAATAAGAGATTCATTTCTGTGCAGACTGATTTTAAGGACTAGTCTAGATTCCATTGAGATTGACTGTATTTTTTTTTGTATACTCCTATTTGTTTATACCTAAGGCACAAAACTGTTTGGCTTAAGTCACTTCAAAAAAAAAAAAAAAAAGATTGATTGATTGATTGATTGATTTGAAAGTCAGAGTTACAGAGGGGGTAGACGAGAGAAAGTTCTTCCATTTACTGGTTCATTTCCCCAAGATGCCCTCAGCAGCTAGCACTGGGTCAGGCTGAAACCAGGGGTTGGAAACCCAGTCCAGCGCTAAAGGGACCCAAGTTCTTGAGCCATTCCAGGGAATGCGTGATCAGGAAGCTGGAATTGGAGTAGAACCAGTCTTTAAACCCAGACACTCTGAAAAGGGATGTGGGCATCCCAAGCAGCATCTTAACCGCTTTGCCAAATGCCTGCCCCTAAGGCACTTTAAAAAAGTTGTTTCATTAACATACAATTATTCTTAGGTGTTTAAATTCAACTGAGCCAGCGCTGCGGCTCAATAGGCTAATCCTCCGCCTACTGGCACCAGCACACCGGGTTCTAGTCCCGGTTGCCCCTCTTCCAGGCCAGCTCTCTGCTGTGGCCCGGGAGTGCAGTGGAGGATGGCCCAAGTGCTTGGGCCCTGCACCCTATGGGAGACCAGGAGAAGCACCTGGCTCCTGGCTCCTGCCTTCGGATAGGCGCAGTGCGCCGGCCGCGGCCATTGGAGGGTGAACCAACGGCAAAGGAAGACCTTTCTCTCTCTCTCTCTCTCACTGTCCACTCTACCTGTAAAAAAATAAAAAAATAAATAAATAAATTCAACTGAAAATTGATCCCTGTTAAAAATAATAGTGGCAATAAGGGAGGGAGAAGATGTACAGTTCGGCACACACTCACTCGGACTTAACCCTAATGGTAAAGCTAGAAACGTGCCATGGGACTCCAAATCCTATTAAGTTGGCAGATACCAATGCCATCTTACTAGTTAAAGTGATCAGTTTAAATTCATGATTGATCATAAAGATAGGATTAAGTGTCAAGGGGACCACATAAATAAGACCAGTGTCTGCTAATAATAATTGACAGAATTAAAAAAGAACAATCCAACATTGGAAGCAGGATACACAGCAGACTCATAGAATGACAAATGCCCTAAACAACAGTCTGGCCTCATAATCAGCGCTTAAGACATTCGGATCTGGCTAAAAAGCCCATGAGAGTTTCTCAGGCATGAAAAGCCAAGACACTGGCAAAAAATGACCTAAATGAAACATCTTTGTGAGTGAGATCCTGGTGGAAAGAATGGGCCATCAAAGAAGGAGCTACCTTTCTCTGAAGGGAGGAGAAAACTTCCACTTTGATGGCCTTGTTTAAATAAGGTCAGAGTTTGTGAACTCAAAAGGCTTCCATAGCCTTTGCAGCTCGTGAGAAGAGCCTCGGGTGATTACTGACGTCACAAATAAGAGTGCCAATTATTAAATCAACAGCGGAAGTCACTGTGCACTTACTCCCCATGTGGGCTGTCTGTCCTTAATGTGTTGTATTATGAGACTTAACGATAAAACTAGTCTTCAAACAGTACTTTATATTTTGTGTGTCTGTGTGGGTGCAAACTGTTGAAATTTTTAATTAGTATGTATTAAGTTGATCCTCTGTATATAAAGATAATTAAAAATGAATCTAAATGAAGAATGGGATGGGAGAGGGAGTAGGAGATGGGATGATTTGCTGGTGGGAGTATGCTTATAGGGGGAAAAACCACTACAATTTACATGTTGTATTTTCAGAATTTATATTTATTAAATAAAAGTTTTCTTAGAAAGGAAACACACAAATTGTTTCTGGGTTAGAGTAAAACAGTAGCATTTCTGTATCTAATTTCTTTTGGTTAGATGTCTGGTATAGCTAGTAGCAGTGAATGCAAAATTAAACTGATACTGGGCAGAACAATAGCTTATGTAAAAGATTTTTAGTTGACTCGGCTGATGAAACTCTTGAGTGTCTGTTACACCCACAGATTCTGATTTCCTGACTTGGAGCACCTTAGCATGGGAAATTAGGAGGGTGCTGTGCTATAACAGCACTGATGGAAAGACGAACGAAGATGAGTAAAGCCTCATAACTGGCAGTGTTGTGTCTGCGAATCCATGCTCCTTGTTAATTTTTCCCCTTAGTTTTGGTCTTTGGGTTTAATTTATCTTAAAAACACTGCCACTGAACTTAGAGGATTACTGCTTGTTTTTAGTTGTTACTTGATTTAAGAAATGGAGATTACTTGCATTTGGTAATGTAGTTGCTAGTTTTTCTTTTGTTCAATTTTAGCTGTGTACAGTACAGTAGAAATCACTAATTAAAGGATTAAATTTTTGTAGTTATCTTTAAAATTGCTGCTTTTTAGTTTTTTGCAGTATAACTTTAAAAATCTGTACTGTAATAACTTCATAATTTATATGCAAAACTATAGCATTTCATCAAAATGTGATCAGGAAGAAAAAGCTTATGTTTTTTAATGTGCAGAAAATGTATTTGGTAAATATAACATTTAATACTAAAATAAGTTGTGTGCTGTGTGTGTCTTTGTTTTTCTGTTGATGAATACTTTTGAGTTATATGTGTATTCCAGTATAAGTAGACAGTGATAAGTCAATAATTGAAAAACAGTATAAATTGATTTGATGGTTGGCTTTTATTTAAGGTATACTAGTTAGTTAGCATGTAAGTACAATTCTGAGTAATAATTTAAGTATCATTTTTTGTATTCTGTTTTGAAACAGATATATATCTACATATATTAATGTGCAAGAGAGGGATCCCAAAGCTCATAGATTTCTGGGACTTCTTTATGAGGCAGAAGAAAACACAGACAAAGCTGTCGAATGTTATAAGGTAATTAATTATAAGATTAAATTGTAGACTTTGCACAGGCAGATGTAAGTCATTTATGTAATGAATAATTTAGATATATCTTATGGATGTCGTGAAAATAGGTGCTCATGTCACAGAACAGATTTAAAAAATGTGATGCAAATTGTACTGTAATTTAACACCTATAAATTTTGAGTCTAATATTGTGATGTGGTATCCTTGTGTTTTTTGCATTCACCCAATAAAAAGATAATTTTTATTTGATTCATTATTACACTCTAAGATACTTTAATAACTTTGAAATAATGTCATCTAGGAATAGAGTTTTAAATGAGTATAGTGACACTTTTTATTCTTTGAGTGTATATATTCCTACAAACATAAATTCATTTACTGATTTTTTTATTTCTATTATTTCAGCGTTCAGTGGAATTAAACCCAACACAAAAAGATCTTGTGTTGAAGATTGCAGAATTGCTTTGTAAAAACGATGTTACTGATGGAAGAGCAAAATACTGGGTTGAAAGAGCAGCTAAGCTTTTCCCAGGAAGTCCTGCAGTCTATAAACTAAAGGTAAAAAATCCAAAATTTAGGAGAAGAGATTATGTAAAACACAAGTATTTCTAATATTTGGAATTTAGATTAATTTTTTATTTGTTGGTTCACTCTATCCATTTGGGCCAGGCCAAAGCTAGGAGCTTCATCCAGATATCTCCCAAGTGGCTGGCAGGGGCCAAGACACTTGGGCTGTCTTCTGTTTTTCCCAGGCCATTAGTAGGGACTTGGATTGGAAGTGGATAGCTGGGACACAAACTGGCACCTATATGGGTTGCTGTTGTCTCCAGTGGTGGCTTTACCTGCTATGCCACAATGTTACATCCTACATTAATTTTTAGTAGCAAACCTTAAAATGGAGTATGTCTTTATGTTGCCTTTAAAATTTTTTCTTGGAGGCCAGTGTTATGGGGCAGAGGCACTGATTTGAGACTTAGACTGTCCCACTTCCTATCCAGCTCCCTGACAATGTGCCTGAGAAAGCAGTGGAAGATGGCCCAAGTACTTGTGCCTCGGCATCCATGTGGGAGACCCAGATGAAGCTCCTGGCCCAGCCTTGGCTGTTGTAGCCATTTGTGGAATGAACCAGTGGTTGGAAGATCTCTGTCTCTCTCTCTCTCTGTCCCTCCCTCCCTCCCTCCCTCCCTCTCCGCCTCCGCCTTTCCAATAAATCTTGAAAAAAAAATGCTTTTTTTCTCTTAAAAATTACAACCTTTCTCAACTCATGTCTTTTTAGCCATTGCATTGTATGCTCTACAAGTGATATATGCTTTACTCTTCTGGAATATTTAATATTTTAGAGATTTTACAGTTTTGTATTTAATAGTAGAGCTAAGATATGGGTCAGGTTTTGTCTACGTGTATAAGGTTTTTGCATCTCTCTCTCACTGTCTAACTTTGCCTGTCAAAAAAAAAAATAAGGTTTTTGCATCATTATGTGAAAACTGCTTATAGGATGACAGTTTAGGGTTGTTATAAATAAGAGTTTTCTGGTAACTGTTTAGAAATGGAATGAATTATCTTATGAGATAGGTTTATAAGCCAGTGATAAAAGGTGGTTTTTCTAGTATGTTGGAGATAATAACAAAATGTCAGGAAGCTCTTGGTAATATATTAACTGGTCCCGATTATTATTCTTCATTGATTAAATGCAGTTTAGTAAGTAATTTTTCTAGAGAAAGTCTTTCCAAATAAGCCTTACCAATACTTCTCTTTTTTAAAAGATTTATTTTATTTATTTGAAAGGCAGAGTTACAGAGAGAGAAGGAACAATGGAGAGATCTTCTATCCACTGGTTCACTTCCCAAATGGCTGCGACAGTTGGGGCTGGGCCAGGCCAAAGCCAGGAACCAGGAGCTTCTTTTGAGTCTCTGATGTGGGTACAGGGCATATTAGCAGGGAACCGAATCAGAAGTGGAGCAGCAGGGACTTGAATAAGCCCCCTATGGATGCTGGGCACAAGTGGTGCCTTTATCTGCTATTCTACAACGTTGCCCCAACACTTTTTTTTTTTAACATTTATTTATTTGAAAGTCAGAATAAAATTATACACACAGAGGAATCTTCTATTTGCTGGTTCATTCCCCAGATGGCTGTAACAGCTCAGGCTGTGCCATGCTGAAGCTAGGTATCAGGAGCTTGTTTTAGGTCTCCCTTGTGTGTGGCAATGGCCCAAACACTTAGGCTGTTATCAGGGAGCTGGATTGGAAGTGGAGCAGCTGGGACTTGAATCGGCGCCCATTTGGGATGCCAGCATCATAGTTGGCGGCCTTACCCACCATGCCATATCGCTGGCCCCAGGGCTTTTGTCTCAAGCTAAACCTTTGTGTTTGAAATTCTTTCCCAGGTTTTTGGAACTGAAATTCATGATGTTTTGAACTAGTTTGCAAAGTAGATCTGTTTCTCCTTAAATTTAAGACTTATTGACAGAAGATGGATAGTTTTGTGACATTTGTTTAATGAATGAAAGTATTACATATGAGAGGACTTTTTCTCTTGAGTATAGAGTAGAATTTTCAAAAAAACTTTAAAAAACATTTTGAATTTCAAATTTTAAAAGATTTGTTTGAAAGGCAGAATGACTCCCCTGATGGCTGTAGCAACTGGGGCTGTACCACACTGAAGCCAAGAACTCCACCTGGATCTCCCAGATGGATGGCAGGAACACTTGAGCCATCATCTGCTGCTTTTTCACCACATTCAGTAGGGGCCTGAATTGGAAGCTGAGTAGCTGGCACTCACACTGGCATTTCCGTATTGGATGGTAATGTCACAAGCAGCTGTGGTTTCACCTGCTGCCCCACTGTGCCTGTCTCCAGTTTCAAAAAAATTTAATGCCAAAATGAACTTACCTTTTTATTTCTTTTTGCAAACCTTTGAACTACTTTTGTCCTAGGGACAAAGACCTCTATTTCCATTTTATTTGGAAGACATACACATGGAGTGAGAGCTTCCATCCACTGGTTCATTCTCCAAATGCCCTCATCAGCCAGCTCTGGGCCAGGCTGAAACCAGAGCCTGGAATTCAGTCCAAGTACCCCATTTGGGTGGAAGGGACCCAAGTACTTGAGCGTCGTCTGCTGTCCCCTAGAGTGCGCATTAGCAGGAAGCTGGATCCAAAGTGGAGGAGCTGGACTTGAACTACTCTAATATGGCCTGCGAGAATCCCAAGTGACAACTTAACCACTCTCCCAAATGCCTGCCCCAGATTGTAGCATTTTAGTTTGACAGAGAAAGAGTGTGTTGTGTGTGTATGTTATGGCTAATTAAAATTTGGTGATTTCAGTGCAGTAACGGAGCTTTTCATATAGTAGAGGAGAAAATATGTGGTAGGAGCCAGCGGGGAGGATATGTGGGCCCTAAGTGAGGTAGAAGAATAGCAAAGGTATGGGCCTGAGTGGAGCCTGAAATACAGCTTTTGAAGACTAGTATCCATGGCAAATGGATGGCTGAGGTTGGAGTTGAGGCTAGTATCACTGGACACGAGGTAGCTAAGCCATGGTATGTTTTTCCAATGGCTAGCATCAGTGATAGCTCTTAAGATGAAGTATCTTGGCCGGTGCCACGGCTCACTAGGCTAATCCTCTGCCTGTGGCGCCGGCACCCCAGGTTCTAGTCCCGGTTGGGGCGCTGGATTCTGTCCTGGTTGCTCCTCTTCTAGTCCAGCTCTCTGCTGTGGCCCGGGAAGGCAGTGGAGGATGGCCCAAGTGCTTGGGCCCTGCACCCGCATGGAAGACCAGGAGGAAGCACCTGGCTCCTGGCTTCGGATCCGTGCAGCGCCGGCCATAGCGGCCATTTGGCGGGTGAACCAACAGAAAAGGAAGACCTTTCTCTCTCTCTCTCTCTCTCTCACTGTCCACTCTGCCTGTCCAAAAAAAAAAAAAAAAAAAAAGTCTTATTCCAGTTACAAAGTGGGGGAAATATTTACAAGAGGTGTGGAGGGAGCTGGGATTTGGAGGAGGCAATGAGGAGTGAGGCCACAACCTTACCTTCTTTCTCTTGTGTGTAGTCCGAGAGAGGAAAAGTTATCATGGCAGAGGGTTGGGTCCTCCCCTGGAGTGTCCTTACTCACGGAAGGCCAGGCGATGAGGACTGTGCTTTGAGAAGACAGCATGGTGGGAGCCCTGAGGGATTCAGATACTGAGATACTGAGCAGCTTGAAGATGGGGTCTTACAGTGGGGGTTGACTGGGATCAGGGCGAGGCCAGGCTTCTGGTGATGTGGTATGCAGGGATGTGGGCCAGTAGGCCTTGTAATCCCTAGGTAACCACAGCTCCTGTGGTAATCCCCTAAGCTCTCCATATAAAGTTACTGAGGTTTAGCTTCTAAGCTGGAAGCAGCTCTTTGAAGGGGCTAATTAGATTGTAAGATGGTACTTTTGGTGAGACTCTCCTAACTAATGATTTTTATTCTCAAATAGGAACAACTTTTAGATTGTAAAGGTGAAGATGGATGGAATAAACTTTTTGACTTGATCCAGTCAGAACTTTACACAAGACCTGATGATGTCCATATGAACATCCGACTAGTGGAACTGTATCGCTCAAATAAAAGATTGAAGGATGCTGTGGCCCACTGCCATGAGAGAGAGAAGAACATAGCTTTGCGTGCAAGTTTAGAATGGAATTCATGTGTTGTCCAGACTCTTAAGGTAGCTAAAAGCTCTTTGGTCTCCGTGCTTGTACATTATTGATTATCATGTCTCTGTGCTGAAACAGCACTCTCTAAGACTTAAATTTCACTTGTTTATGTAAAAAAAATTAAGATGAAATTGTTACAAGGATCATTTTGATTTGTAATGGGTTGGGGGGGTGACGAATTGGTTATATATTTTGGTGATTTTACTTAAATTCTAATGTAAAAATCACCATGTGATAAGAATGGACAAAGAGATTTTTAGCATGAAAGTATTGCAACTTGGCTTTTCTTTCTGCAAAACAGGAGTATCTGGAATCTCTACAGTGTTTGGACTCTGATAAAAGTAACTGGCGAACAACCAATAAAGACTTACTTCTGGCGTATGCTAACCTCATGCATCTTACACTTTCTATCAGGGATGTGCAGGAAAGTAGAGAATTACTGGAAAGGTAGGTTGATTTTGTGAACAGTGTAATTTAGCATAAACTACTGATGCCCCCCCCCCCCTTTTTTTTCTTTTAGAAATAATAATTCACTTCTTTGACTTCTTTACCACATCATTATTTCTAGCTCCCTGGAGTTATAGTGAGTAAGATAAACCACTTGGAGGGAATCCTAATTATACTTACTTTCTGGGGATGGTATAATTAGTTTTGTCTGAATTTGAGTTTTAAAGACAACTTGTATAGTTTAAATTTGATTAAAATTGGCCTTATAGTTAAATAATTTAGATTTATCATGCTTAATAAAGAGTAAAAGGAATGTTGTAACTTCCATATTTTACTGTTTTTAAAAAATTTATTTATTTATTTGGAAGGCAGAGTTATAGAGAGGCAGAGAGAGAGAGAGAGAGACTGGAGCAGAGCCTTTCTGAAGCCAGGAGCCAGGAGCTTCTGGGTCTCCCATGTGGGTGCAGGGGCCCAAGCACTTGAGCCATCTTCTACTGCTTTCCCAGGCCATAGCAGAGAGCTGGATTGGAAGTGGAGCAACTGGGACTGGAACTGGCACCCAGGTGGGATACTGGCACTGCAGGCGGTGGCTCTATCTGCCACGCCATAGTGCCAACCCCTCCATGTTTTATTTTTAAAGGGGGGCTATCTTGAGTGAAAATTAGATAGTAAGGTGGTTCTTCTGGTAAATGGCTGGGTTCAGATGTGTAAGCACTTAACATCACTAATATTTCAGAAAAGGTTTTCTTTTTTTCAAAGAAAGACTTACTTATTTGGAAGGCAGATTGACATATCTTCACTTAATGGTTCACCCACCAAATGCCCATAATAGCCTGAACTGGGGCCAGGAGCCATCACCTTCCCAGGCACATTGGCAGGAAGCTGGATTGGAAATGGAGTAGCCAGGACTTGAACCAAGCATTCTAGTATGGGTTGCAGGCCTCCCAAGTGGCAACTTAACCCATGGTGCTCCAGTGACTACTGCCTCAACAATTTTCATTAATATACACAATACAAAATGACTCACACGTCTACATTTTCTGTTTTCTTAAACTCTCAGTTTGAGGAATAGTTATCTCTGTTTTCTAAAACTCTAGAAAATATCACTTGAACTTCAGTTTGAGGATGTTAGTTTAAAGCATGACGACTTAGAGTTTGTGAACCAGTTATGGCCTTGTAAACTCAAAGGCCTCATGATTTTATAAATAAAGGTTTATTGGAACATAGTGTGTCTCTGTTTACCTGTTGTGAAGCTGCTTACACTCCACAGGGGTGGGTTTGAGTGGTTGTGACAGAGACTGTATTTCTGAAAAGCCACATTAGTAGCTGACACTTTGTGGAAACAGTTTGCTGATCCCTGGCTTAGGCTGTCTGTTTCTTGGGAAATTATTTCTTGTTTCCCCAAATGGCATATGCAAAGAGGGTCTGGGGGGTAGATAGTATCCTTGAAAAAGTTTTTAGTGTCCTAAGGTGGGGTAAAAGCAGTATTCAGGACTGGCATTGTGACATAGCAGGTAAAGTTGCCTGCCTGCAATGCTGCCATTTATATGGGCATCGTTCGAGTCCCAGCTACTCTACTTCGAGTCCAGCTCCCTGTTAATGCGCCTGCTTGGGCCCCTTCCACTCATGTGGAAGAAACTCCTGTCTTTGGTCTGGCCCAGCCTTGGCCATTGTGACCATGTAGGGAATGAATCAGTGGATGGCAGATGTCTCTCTGTTTCTCTGTCACTCATTAACTCTTTTTTTTTTTTTTTTTTTTTTTGTGACAGGCAGAGTGGACAGTGAGAGAGAGAGACAGAGAGAAAGGTCTTCCTTTTGCCGTTGGTTCACCCTCCAATGGCCGCCGCGGCTGGCGCGCTGCGGCCGGCGCACCGCGCTGATCCGATGGCAGGAGCCAGGAGCCAGGTGCTTTTCCTGGTCTCCCATGGGGTGCAGGGCCCAAGCACCTGGGCCATCCTCCACTGCACTCCCGGGCCACAGCAGAGGGCTGGCCTGGAAGAGGGGCAACCGGGACAGGATCCGGCGCCCCGACCGGGACTAGAACCCGGTGTGCTGGCGCCGCTGGGCGGAGGATTAGCCTAGTGAGCCGCGGCGCCGGCCCACTCATTAACTCTTTAAAGCAGTATTCAAGAAAACCAACTTGCAGATTATTTTTGAAAATAATTAGGAAATTGGATGGCTTATATATACTAAATTTTTTGGCCAAAAGATCCTTTTACATTCTTGGGGAACTCCAGACATCTTTCTTTGTGGGTTATTTATATCAGTGTCATATTAGAAATTTCATCAGAAAAATTTAAAAATACTTATACACTAAAAATGCTAACAGCATACAAATTTTCAAATGCGAAAGTTATTTCCCAAGGGACAAAAGCAGTTGTGAGAAGAGTAGCATTGTTTTGCTTTTCTTTATTTTTTATTTTTGTTTACTTTTTAAAATTTATTTGTATTTATTTGGGAGTTAGAGAAATGGATCTTCCATCCTCTGGTTTACTCCCCAAATGGCCTGCAACAGCCAGGGATATGCTAGGAAAAGTGAGGAGCCCAGAACTCAATCTGGGTCTCCCATATGGTTGGCAGGTCTCCCAAGTATTTTAACCATCATCTGTTGCCTTTGAAGGATACGCATTAGCAGGAAGCTGGAATCAGTAGCAAAACCAAGACATAACCAGGCACTCTAATATGAGGCAGGTGTCTAAAGCGATGTCTTAACTGCTGCACCAAATGTCCCTTGTTTTGCATTTTAAAAATTTTTATTGACATAATATTCATACATGTTTATTAGCTATATTTTTTCTTTATTTAAAACTTTTTTATCATGTAACACTTGTCCTTTTTTAAAAAGATTTATTTTTATATTTTTTTAAAAAATTTATTTATTTGAAGGAGTTAGAGAGAGAGAGAGAGGTGTCTTCCATCCGCTGATTCACTCCCCAATTGGCCACAACAGCTGGAGCTGTGCCGATCCGAAGCCAGGAGCTGCTTCTAGATCTCCCACGTGGGTGCAGGGGCCCAAGGACTTGGACCATCCTCTACTGCTTTCCCAGGCCACAGCACAGAGCTAGATCGGAAGTGGAGCAGCCAGGCCTCGAACCAGTGCCCATATGCTGGCACTGCAGGCAGTGGCTTTACCCACTGTGCCACAGCGCCGGCCTCCATTTGTACATTTTATGAGGCACAGTACAATATTTCAGCAGATGCATACAATATAAATTGATCAGGCTGTGCATTCAGCAACTCCACCTCTCTATCCTTTTGTGTTTTTGTAAGTCTATTTAGTGTCTGACATAATAGAACACAGCTTGATTCTCACTGATGTCCTCATTCACTCTTTAAACTATTATATGTCATAAAGCCTCTGGGAAACTTAGCTATGGTATATCTGAAAAAATGAGAATGAACAAGAGAAGAAATTTAATACTATTGCACAATAAATTTATCCTTGTGGATCCCCTGTAGCTCTGTTTTCTTGATTAAAAGCTAATTTAGAATCTTGCTACAGGGGCCAGTGTTGTGGCACAGAGAGCTAAGCTACTTCTTGAAACACCAGCACACCATATTGGAGTGCCAGTTTGAGTCCTGGCTATTCTGCCTCCTGTCCAGTTTCCTGCTTATGAACCTGGGAAAGGAATGGAGGATGACCCAAGGAATTAGGAACCTGTCACCCTATAGGAGACCCAGGTGTAGTTTCAAGCTCCTGGCTTTGGCCTGGCCCAACCCCAACTGTTGGAACCATTTGGGGAGTGAATCAGTGGATGGAAGATTTATCTGTTCCCACTCTCTGTCGTTTTGTCTTTCAAATACGTATTTTTATTATTTTTATAGCATTTTTAATTATTTTTATAGCATTTTTTTTTTTGCAGGCAGAGTTAGAGAGAAAACTCTTCCTTCCATTGGTTCACCCCCCAGATGACTGCTACAGCTGGCACGCTGCGCTGATCCAAAGCCAGGAGCCAGGTGCCTCCTCCCGGTCTCCCATGCAGGTGCAGGGCCCAAGCACTTGGGCCATCCTCCACTGCCTTCCCAGGCCACAGCAGAGCTGGCCTGGAAGAGGAGCAACCGGGACTAGAACCCGGTGCGCATGTGCGATGCTGGCGCCGCAGGCGGAGGATTAACCAAGTGAGCCATGGCGCCGGCCCCTATTATTATTTTTTTTTAAATTATCCTTTCCTAGATGGAAATTGTTGGAGACAATTTCAGTTTGTCTTTTTGATTTTTTTTTTTTTTTAAGATTTGTTTGTTTATTTGAAAGGCAGAGTTACAGAAAGATAGAGACAGAGAACAACAGAAAGATCTTCCATCTGCTGGTTAACTCCATGGATGGCTGCAATGGCTGGAGCTGTGCTGATCCAAAGCCAGAATCCAGGAGCTTCTTCCACATCTCCCGCTGTGGGCAAAGGGGCCCAAGTATTTGGACTATCTTCTGCTTTGCTAAGTGCATTAACAGGGAGCTGCATTGGAAGTGGAGCAACCAGAACTTGAACTGGCATCCTAATGGGTTGCCAGAGCCACAGATGCTGTGTTTACCCACTATGTTCATAGTTCTGACCCCTCAAATAAATCTTTAAAAAACAAGTCATGCTTCATATTTGTTTGATTTTTACTTTTATTACAAAGTAAAGATCATTAGGATATATATGCACTTAATAGAATATAGATTATAAGAAACAGTTTTATAAGTTTGTAGTTATATAATGTGGAGAGCAGTTGTGTTACTGATAGCCAAATATCTGTTAGTTATTGCAGTTTGGCAATGGAGTATCTAATTTGAAAAATTCCAAACTTGGATTAAATACTGAAATAATGTGGATCAAGAAGAATCTAGAAAATAGCTTGCATTTCTTCTGAAATGAAGTTTTCCAACATTCCGGTTTATTGTCAAATATTCACCTGTAATCAGTAATCATACTTGAATTGTATTTTTTCTATGATTTAAAATAAGATGTCATTGTAGAGCAGAGATATGAAAACTTTTTTTCTGTCTAGGAATATTTTAATATTTATAACATCATTCATGCGATGTACATAATTACCAACTTAAAAATTAACTTGCTCTAGATTTATTGAATTTTAAGTCCTGCCTGCAGTTGACTTGGTGAGGCCAGACTAAATGATTTTATAGACCCCATGTGGCTCACAGGCTGGATATTCCCCACCCCTGTTCTAGAGGTTAAGTTGGAAGTATGGGCAGTATGCAGGATAAAAGTAATAGCTAGATGATTCATAATCCATGAAATAGAGAATAGGGACTATTATGAGTTCAAAATTGGACGATGAAGCATGAAGTAGACTTAATGAGACAATGCAGCAGGTTAGAGTACCTGCTTACTGTTGGACTGTTGCAGCTTTGATGGTGCTCTGCAGTCTGTGAAATCTTCTGTGGGTGGAAATGATGAGCTGTCAGCAGCGTTCTTAGAAGTGAAAGGACATTTCTACATGCACGCTGGTTCCCTGCTCTTGAAGATGGGTCAGCACAGCGACGGACAGTGGCGCGCGCTCTCTGAGCTGGCTGCCTTGTGCTATCTCATAGCGTTTCAGGTAAGCTTTTTCCAGTTGTAGGGACTGGGACTTTGTTGTATTTTTCCTGGTGTGTAATGAAAATATGTGAACAAACCCATAGAATTAAGTTAAATTATATTGAGAGGTAAAAAATGAAGATGGACACCATACTGAGGAGGTAGATGAATCCATTATGTTGGTGTACTGCTGGTGGTAGTCTGTGTTGCCATGACTGTTTTGAAGACTGTTCAGAGAATTTGATCTTTTTACTTTGCCATTTCAGGGGAATGTATAATCGGGAGATAATCTCAAATATATTTAAAAGGATGTGTATGACTTTGACAAAAACATAATAAATAAGCAAATTTTCAGGGAATAGTTAACATAAGTTACGATAGATTTAATAACATTAATCGAAGTTGTATATGTATAAAAAGTATATCATTTGACAGTATGTAATGTCACAGCATGTAATAGTATGGTCATTTTTGAAAGCATAAAACACTTAATGTTTACATAGACTATGACAAGGAGGAAATAATGTCAAAATGGTGTCCATTTTTTTTTTTAAAGACAGGATGCTGATTAATAGCACCCTGGCCTAATTTTTTAAAATTTAATAAGCTTGCTTTACTTCTGAAATGAAAAGAAACAGTCTCCTCAGAAGCATTAAATTAGGCTTATAAAAATGAATATGCTTTAGAAAATGAATTTTTTAATTAGATGGGTAGGAAGAACTCAATGCTTTATTTATTTTTAAAGTATTATTTACTATTTGAAAAAGTAAGAGGAGAGATCTGTCTTCTGGTTCACTCCCCAGATGATTGTAAAAACCAGGGCTGGGCCAGGCTGAAGCTAGGAACTCCATCTGGCTCTCTCACATGGGTGGCAGGGCCTTGCCAGGTGTGTACAAGAAGCTGGATGAAGCCAGCCCCAGAACTCATTACTTTTTAGAGAATGCTTCTCCTTCTAGTTTATATTATTTGAATCTTTTGAGCACAGTGTTGATATACATCTTCCAATATTCAGTGCTATTATTTGTGTTTCTTCATTGTTCAACCCCAATCTTGGTTTTATTTTTTAATTTTTTTTTTAGGGGCCGGCGCTGTGGCGCAGTGGGTTAACACCCTGATCTGAAGTGCCGGCATCCCATAGGGGCGCCGATTCTCGTCCCGGCTGCTTCTCTTCTGATCCAGCTCTCTGCTATGGCTTGGGAAAGCAGTAGAAGATGGCCCAGGTCCTTGGGCCCCTGCACCCATGTGGGAGACTCGGAGGAAGCTCCTGGCTCCTGGCTTTGGATCAGCACAGCTCCGGCCGTTGCAGCCAGTTGGGGAGTGAACCAGCAGATGGAAGCTCGCTCGCTAGCTCGCTCTCTCTCTCTCTCTCTCTCTGCTTCTCCTTTCTCTGTGTAACTCTGACTTTCAAATAAATAAAATAAATCTTTAAAAAAAAAAAAAGGATTTATTTTATTTATTTGAAAGACAGGGTTATAGAGAGAGGTAGACACAGAGCGAGAGGTCTTCGATCTGCTGGCCACTCCCTAGATGAGTGGAGCGTCCGGAGCTGCGCCGATCCGAAGCCAGGAGCTTCCTCTGGGTCTCCCACATGGGTGCAGGGGCTCAAGGATCTGGGCCATCTTCTGTTTTCCTAGGCCACAACATTGAGCTGGATCAAAAGTGGAACAGCTGACACTTAACCTAGGGTTCTGATACATAATGTCTGGTGTTGTAAGTAGAGGCTTAACTTATAGTTCAACAAAACAGCAGCCCCCTCGATTTTTTTTTTTTTTTTTGAAGTATATTTATTTATTTGAGAGGCACTTCTGAGAAGATCTGCCGAAAGCACATTCAAGTTAACATTCAGGGAAATGGAGAATTTAGTTACGTTACTTTTATATTCTTCATAAACAAAACAGATGTCAACTTGCTTTAAACTAGTGAAGCCTTACTTGGAAATGCCACATGTGGACAGCACATTTTGAAAGTATAGATAACTGAATTACCACAGGGGTAAACTAAACCAACTCTAAGAGGAAATGGACTCCAGATCATCCCCTGTGAGGAAAAGCTGAAAGAATGGTGAATAAATACAATAGTGCAAAGAAGACATGAAAACTGCCTTTAGACACTAGCAAAATGCTTTCGTGAAAGTATTGAGACTGGGGGCCAGCAACGTGGTGCAGGGATAAGGCTACAGCCTGCAATGCCGGCAGTCCATATAAGTGCCCCTTTGAGTCCTGGCTGCTGCACTTTCAACCCAGCTCCCTGCTAATGTGCTTGGGAAGGCAGTGAAGGATGGCCCAAGGACCCCTGCACCCACGTCAGAGATCTGGAAGAAGCTCCTGACTCCTGGCTTCAGCCTGGCCGTTTGGGGAATGAATTAGTGGATGGAGATATGTCTCTCCTCCCTAACTCTTTCAAATAAAGAAATCTTAATTTTTTTTTTAAGACTTTTTATGTAGCACCAAAAGGAAAAACAAGGAGTATCTCAAAAAAGCATAGATTATATAAATTTCTTGGTTGCCAGCTTTTTTCATTCTGTTTTCCAAGTCAGTTTAATCATTGGTTAACTGTTTGTTATCAATAAAGTACAGTGTAATAGAATGAAACACATTTGTTAGAAATATAGGTATCACTGCATTTAGATTTTTTATTTTAAAATTGCCAGGTTCCCAGACCAAAGATTAAATTAATAAAAGGAGAAGCTGGACAAAATCTGCTGGAAATGATGGCTTATGATCGACTGAGCCAATCAGGTAACTGTAATGATTGATTAAAAAAAGATGAGGATTTCTGTTAGGGCATATCTGATGATAAATTCTTCTGTTGTCCAGGAGATAAATGGTTATAATTGTTTCTCTTTGGCCTGTTAGATAAGGGCAGTACATATGAAAGGATTGGGATGATACATTTTTTTTTTACAAAAGAAACATTGGATATTGTTTGCTTTCAGATGGATATAACTTCTTAATCCCTTTTTGCCATTAGATAATTATTTAGCTAGTGGAAATACAAAGATGAAGATACTGGTCTCTCTCTTAAGAGCTGAGTACATATAGAGGAAGAGAGTAATAATAATACATATTATCATATATTCCAATATTCTTCTAGACTATTGCTCTTGTGGTAGATTTATTCACAGTTCTGGTTTTCTGAGATGCATCCTACAGGTATGTTACATATTTGTAATTTTCCAAGGCAAATCTTTGAGAGTCATGTAGCCAGTAAATCAGTCAGGATCAGTTTTGTTGGAAAATTGCATAAACTTTGTAACGAGCAAGAAGTAGTGTTCAGAGTTCCTATAAACTTTGATTGTCAGAGCTCCTGTTGCTCTTGTATGCCAAAACCTGATTTTTGATAGAGGTTAGATGTGCAGGTTTTTTTTTTTTTTTTTTTTTAAAGATATTTATTTATTTATTTAGCAGGTAGAGTTACAGACAGTGAGAGAAAGGTCTTCCTTCTGTTGGTTCACTCCCCAAATGGCCGCCACGGTCGGAGCTAGGCCAATCCGAAGCCAGGAGCCAGGAGCTTCTTCCTGGTCTCCCATACAGGTGCAGGGGCCCAAGAACTTGGGCCATCTTCTGCTTTCCCAGGCCATAGCAGAGAGCTGGACTGGAAGAGGAGCAACCGAGACCAGAACCCGGCACCCATATGGGATGCCAGTGCTGCAGGTGGAGGATTAACCTAGTGGACCACTGTGCCGGCCCCAGATTTGCAGTTCTTAAAGTGACTTTCCACTCCTCCCATTTTTCCTTCTACCTTTGCAGGGCTGTCACAGGTGCTTTTGCAAGGTGTCACAGTTAGTAAAATCAGTGTGTTTTTTTGTTTGTTTGCTTGTTTTGTTTTTCCTCTGAGTATTCAAGTTTGCTAAGAGAATAATTGGTGGTAACCAAATTAGAATTAACCCGTGCTTGAGATTTAATTCACGTACTATATGATACACCTGTTTAAAAGACATTTCATTGATTTTTATTATGTTCCCAGAGTTGAGCATTCATCATCACAATCAGGTTTGTTTTTTTTTTTTGCACTTTCATTTTTTTATTTCGACATTTTTTTTTTTGGACAGGCAGAGTTAGACAGAGAGAAAGGTCTTCCTTTCCTCCAAGGGGCCGCTATTGCTGTTGTGTTGTGGCCAGCGCGTTGCACCGATCCGAAGCCAGGAGCCAGGTGCTTCCTCCTGGTCTCCCATGCGGGTGCAGGGCCCAAGGACCTGGGCCATCCTCCACTGCACTCCCAGGCCACAGCAGAGAGCTGGACTGGAAGAGGAGCAACCAGGATTAGAACCTGGTGTGCCGGCGCCAGCCCACAATCAGTTTTTGATCTTCTTTATTTTTCATCTTCCCATAATGAAATTCCATAAAATACTTAGCAGTCACACTGTACCTTTACCCTAAACTCCTTAGCCTTAGGCAACTACTATTCCGTTTCTCTCAATTTTCCTATCCTGGACATTTTATATAAAAATCATAAAATGTATGATGTTTTATGACTGATTTTTTTCAGTATGTTTTCAGGGTTCATTGCTTTATGCAAAGGGTGTTTTTAAAATAGATTGCTCATCCCAAATCAGTGGAATAAAAATCTGTCGGGTAGGGCCTGGAAGTAAGTTTTACTTCTTAAGAGCTATTTAAAGGAAGATTGTGATCCAGGTAGGTTTAGAAATCAGTTTATCAGACCAGAGAATGAGAACTTGGCTTTACTGTTTTATGGCTACATAAATCTTAGACTTTTCTATCTAAAATTATATACTTCTGGCATTTTTCACATACATGCCTGTCTTTGATTCTGTCATATATATACAGATTGTCTTAAATTTCAATGTGTTTGTTTTCTCAGTAAGTACATACTTCTTGTCCAACTGTGTTTTTGGGGTTGAATTGTTAAATTTGAGATAATCACTGTACTTTTGCTTTGGGCATATGAATGAAATAATTGAGACATGTAAGTAATTAGAATCTGTATCTTTTTAAATAATGGAAATAATTTATTTTGTTTTTCAGGGCACATGTTGGTAAACTTGAGTCATGGCAAACAAGATTTTTTAAAAGAGATTGTGGAATCTTTTGCCAATAAAAGTGGACAGTCTGCTTTATATGATGCTCTATTTTCTAGTCGGTCACCTAAGGATAAATCTTTTCTTGGTGATGATGATATTGGAAACGTTGATGTACATATACCAGAGTCTGATGAGTTGGCTAGATATGATGTTGGTGAGTTGAATGTTTGAAAAGAAACATTCTGCTGATTAACACTTTTGTATTAGGATAAAATTGAATAAATTGCCCATGCTCTCATTACTAAGAAATACTGACAATGTTTTCCTGTAGTCTATTCAGGATTTGTTTTGTTTTTGTGGTGGTTGGCAGGCAATAGTGTAAGTGGCATATATTTTTCTTCTAAATAGTTGTTTTATATTGTAAGTATGGTTTGTCTTGCTGCTTTCATGAATTTTGTCCCACAGTATCTAGTTTAAAACTCTTATCACCTTTTTTTTTCTTTTTAAAGATTTTATTTATTTATTTGACAGAGTTACAGATAAGTGAGAGGAAAAGACAGAAGGGTCGTCTTTCTGCTGGTTCACTCCCCAAATAGCCACAACGGCCGGAGCTGTGCCGATCTGAAGCCAGGAGCCAGAGCTTCTTCCCAGTCTCCTACGCGGGTGCAGGGGCCCAAGGACTTGGGCCCTCTTCTGCTTTCCCAGGCCATAGCAGAGAGCTGGATCGGAAGAGGAGCAGCTGGGACTAGAGCCGATGCTCATATCGGGTGCTGGTGCAGCAGGTGGAAGATTAACCCACTGTGCCATGGTGCCGGCCCAAAAACTCTTATCACCTTTAATTGCAGTGTAATTTTTTATTTTTATTTTTTTTTTATTTTTTTATTTATTTTTTTTTTTATTTTTGACAGGCAGAGTGGACAGTGAGAGAGAGAGACAGAGAGAAAGGTCTTCCTTTGCCGTTCGTTCACCCTCCAATGGCCGCCGCGGTAGGCGCGCTGCGGCCGGCGCACCGCGCTGATCCGATGGCAGGAGCCAGGAGCCAGGTGCTTTTCCTGGTCTCCCATGGGGTGCAGGGCCCAAGCACCTGGGCCATCCTCCACTGCACTCCCTGGCCACAGCAGAGGGCTGGCCTGGAAGAGGGGCAACCGGGACAGAATCCGGCGCCCCGACCGGGACTAGAACCCGGTGTGCCGGCGCCGCTAGGCGGAGGATTAGCCTAGTGAGCCGCGGCGCCGGCCCTTTTTTATTTAATCAATTATGTTCCATTGTCCTTTCTGTAGGAAACCTGTAAAGACTTAAATTGAGCAGTAAATATGTCACTTATGTTGACTTTGAAGTAGACAGTATGTCATAAATTGAAAACTTAGGACTTAATGGATTAATTATTTACTACATTTTCTGTTGTATTTCCAAGTTGCTTGTAGTTTTCCCTCTGTTAAGGTTAGTACTGTGGGGGCTGGTGCTGTGGTACAACAGGTAAAGCTGCTTCCTGTGGTGCCAGCATCCCATATAGGTACCGGTTTGATTCCTACTGGTTTGATTCTCCACTTCTGATCCAGCTCCCTCCCTGCTAACACACTTGGGAAAGCAGCAAAAGACGGCCCAAGTGCCTGGGACCCTGCACTCATGTGGGAGATCCGGAAGAAGCTCCTGGCTCCTGGCTTCAACATTACTCAACCTTGGCTGTTGTGGCCCTTTGGGGAGTGAACCAGCGGATGGACAAACTCTCTAACTCTTTAAAATAAATAAATAAATTAAAAAAAAAAAAAAAGAAAAGAATAGTATTGTGAGGAGCAGGCATCTGGCCTAGCAGTTAAGCCAATGGTTAGGATGCCCGTGTCCTGCATTGAATACCTGGATTCAGGGTTCTGGCTCCTAATTATAGCTTCCTGTTAATATTGATCCTGAGGGGCAATGGTAATGGCTCAAGTAATTGGGTTCTTTTTATTCATTTGGAGACCTATATGAAGTTCCCATCTCCTGTCTTAAGTCTGCTTTTTGTGTAGTGGGGAAGTGAGCAGTGGATGGAAGTTCTCACCCTTATTGTGCATGCCCTGTCTCATAGTTTTGATATATAAACTGTCTGCATTTCAGACATTTTTTCCATAGAGATTCTTAAAAACAGAATACTGGAACAAAGGAGGTGAACATCTTCAAGTCTCCTGTAAATTAACAAACGTTGAAGATTGAGCCTCTTCATATTTTCAGAAGCCTTTTCAGTTCTCTACTATATCAGAGGATTAACATAGTGTCATCCCATTGTTCTAGTGTCTACTGAAAGGGGAAATGTTTGAAGAGTTCTTGTTTGATGGGCATTCTTTATTTGAATGCTCAGTAGATTTTATTTTATTGATTCTGTGGGGTTTTCATTATGTTAGTGGGCTTGAAAGACAAAATTCTTTCCATCACATCTGTTAAATTCCTAGATACAAGGTGTGAATGCATTTAATAAGAGCATGAGATTTTTGCTTATTATAGAATATCCCTCAGCTGTAATATAGCAAAGCAAATATGTAATTAAGATACCTTTACTCTGTGTTATTTTTAACAAAACTAACAACACAGTGAAGATTTCCAAGACCTCAAGCCATTTCCCTCTTTTATTTCAGGTGCCGTTCGTGCACATAATGGCAGTCTTCAGCACCTTACCTGGCTTGGCTTACAATGGAATTCAATGCCTGATTTACCTGCAATTCGAAAATGGCTAAAACAGCTTTTTCATCATCTGCCTCAGGAAACTTCAAGACTTGAAACAAATGCACCTGAATCCATATGTATTTTAGATCTTGAAGTAAGCAAAGATTTTAACAAAGTAAATATTCTGAATTTTGTTTAATTTTTTTCTTACTTAAATTTTCTTTAAATAAAACAGGTATTTTTACTCGGAGTGATATATACCAGCTATTTACAATTAAAGGAGAAATGTAATTCTCACTATAGCTCCTATCAGCCTCTATGCTTGCCACTTCCTGTGTGTAAACAGCTTTGTACAGAGAGGCAGAAGACTTGGTGGGATGCAGTTTGTAATCTAATTCACAGAAAGGCAATGTAAGTAATGATCTGAAAGTATTCTTTTAACTTATTGCCTGGGTTTTACTAAAAATTTAATTTGTCATATGATAGCATACATGTAAGTATTGAATGTATGTTTTTAAAGTGGCTTTATTAAAACTTTTTAGACCTGGAGCCTCAGCAAAATTACGACTTCTAGTTCAGCATGAGATGCACACACTAAGGGGCCAGGAAAAGCATGGTCTTCAACCTTCTCTGCTTGTACACTGGGCAAAATACCTTCAGAGAACGGTGAGTTCACTAAAATGTAAATGGTTTTAGGAACATTGTCTTAGTTTTTTGTTTTATTTGTTTATTTTATGGTTTAAAAAATTATTTGAAAGGTACACTTAAACAGGAGAAAGAGGAGGAGAGATCTTCCATCCATTGGTTCACTCTCCAAATGGCTGCAATGATTAGGACTGGACCAGACCAAAGCCAGGAGCCAGGGTGCTTTCCCAAGCACATCAACAGGGAGCTGGATTAGAAGTCAAACAGCTGGGACTCAAACTAGTGCCCATATGGGATGCTGGCCTTGCAGGCCATGGCTTTTCCTGTTGTGCCGCAACGCTGGCCTGTCGACTCTTTTAAACCATGCGTTTCTTCCTTTCCTTTTCCTTTTTTTTTAATAAAGCTTTTTATTTATTTGAGAGGTAGAGTTACAAACAGTGAGAGGGAGAGACAGAGAGAAAGGTCTTGCGTCCACTGGTTCACTCCCCAAATGGCCGCAATAGCTGGAGCTGGGCTGATTCAAAGCCAGGAGCCAGGAGCTTCTTCCAGGTCTCCCATGCGGGTGCAGGGGCCCAAGCACTTGGGCCATCTTCTACCACTTCCCCAGGCCATAGCAGAGAGCTGGATTGGAAGAGGAGCAGCCAGGACTAGAACTGGTGCCCATATGGGATGCCAGTGCTGCAGGTGGAGGATTAACCACAGGACATTGAAAGTAAGAGTATTACTGATATTTCTGAATATTTCAGATCTCTGTGCTGATGATATTACTTTAAAGATGGTTAGCACTTTGACCAAAGTGTGATATAGAGCCAGATTTTTTTTTTTGACTATCTAGAATAGAGTGGGCTGCCCCTTTAGGAAATACCATTGAAAGTGTTTAAAGTTTGGGTCTACAATGATCGCTCATAGTAAGCCTGCTAAGTGATTTTTTGAGATTCCATTTGATTTTGAATTCAAATTTTAACCATTTACTGCCTTTTATAAATCTTAAATCTAGTCACACATTCCTTAAGATTGTGTACTTGTAACTTTTTCTGTTTCAGGGCAGCAGCCTTAATTCTTTTTATGATCAACGGGAATACCTAGGCAGAAGTGTTCATTATTGGAAAAAAGTTTTGCCTTTGTTGAAGACAATCAAAAAGAAGAGCAGTATTCCTGAACCTACTGATCCTCTATTTAAACATTTTCATGCTGCGGACATTCAGGTAATAGAATCTCTTTGTGAATTGACTGGAGTTGTGTATTTCCAGTTCATAAACAAAGAAATTGAAATGTAAACTACTTTAATTAATTGCCTTGTTATTTAATAGTAGACTTACTTTTAAAATCCAGTCACAAATAACCTATGACAGTAAAGTGTAAAAAAGATACTAATTTCATTAGATTAATGTAAAATCTTTGGAAAACCATTTGGATTTGATACTCCAAGTAGAAGCAGTTTGACTAAAAACTATTCAATGTGTTTAGGCATCTGAAATTGGTGAATATGAAGAGGATGCACATATAACTTTTGCTATATTGGATGCAGTTAATGGAAATGTTGAAGATGCTCTGTCTGCTTTTGAATCAATAAAAAACGTTGTTTCTTACTGGAATCTTGCACAGGTAAGTAGATGCTTTACTTGTATTAAGGGTTTTTGTTTTAGTAACATTTGTTTTGGGGCCAACGTTGTGGCATAGTAAGTTAAGCCTCCACTTGCAGTGCTGGCATCCCATATGGGTGCCAGTGTGAGTCCTGGCTGTTCCACTTCCCATCCAGCTCCCTGCTGATGGCCTGGGAAAGCAGTAGAAGATGGCCCAAGTGGTTGGGTCCCTGCACTCGTGTCGGAGACCCAGAAGAAGCTTCTAGTTCCTGGCTTCAGATTGACCCAGCTCCTGCTGTTGTTGTAGCCATTTGTGGAGTGAACCAGCAAGTGGAAGACTTCTGTCTGTCTTTCTCTCTCTTACTGTCTTTCAAAAAATAAACCTTTAAAAAAAATGAAACATTTGTTTCATAAAAGCACTCTTTGCATAGATTTTTCACAGGAAAGCAGAAGACATTGAAAATGACGCCCTTTCTCCCGAAGAACAAGAAGAATGCAAAAATTATCTGAGAAAGACCAGGGACTACCTAATAAAGATTTTAGATGACAGTGATTCAGATCTTTCAGTGGCCCGAAAAGTAAGTTGCAGATTGTTGTCTGTACTATTTATTAGTGACTGGGTGATCAGTTTCTTTTGCCTTGGTTTTGTATTTTGATAATTTCAAAAAAAGTATCTTGTCATTTGGACATGGAAGGAATATAAATTCTTAATTTGCTTTGCTTTGGTTGTTTTACTTTGCTTTTTCATTTTGGTCTTTTTTTTTTTTTTTTTAAACTTGGGAATCTACATATTTATTCTTAGCAAAGTACTTGTAGAATTAGAAAAACTTATAGGATGTCATTGATTTTGTTATCTTGGTAATGTAATCAAAGCAAACATTGCAGCCTCAGGGCTAGTTTTTAATGAATTTTGCTGAAAGTGAAAGTTGTTGACAACTTCAGAGGATTTCTTCTCATCTGCTGTGGGCTGTCTTGTTTTCTACCTGACAACAGTTTGAGATGTATTCATCCTACCTTCTGAGTATTTTGTTGGTTAATTTGTTTTGCTACTCTTAGATTAGGATTTCTGGTACATTCGATCATCTTTATTTCTTCGCCATCCAAAACCAGTTAGAAAACATCAGTAACTTAGTTTATATACTTGTACAATTTATGAAGTTAACATTTCTCTATTATTAAGGCTAACAGAAGTAATAGAAGCAGCATGGACTTTAGAGTCAGAAACTTCAGATTATACAACACTTTCACATTTATTATTATTATTTTAATTTCATTTATTTGAAGACAAAAAGATAGACACACCCCATTCATTGGTTCACTGCCCAAATGCCTTTGACAGCCAAGGCTGAACCAAGCCAAAGTAAGAGGATGGGATCTCAGACTGAGTCTCCGACGTGGATAACAGGGATCCAGTTACTTGAACCGTCACCAGTTACTCCCTGGGGTACATATTATCAGGAAACTAGAATCAGGGCAGAGTGTAGACCTGAGGCTCCAGGCACTCAGGTACAGAAGAGAGGTGTCCAAGTGATGTCTTAACTACTACACCAGTCGCTGCCCTCTCCCTTGCCATTACTTGTATCAACTGTGAAGTTCTTGGGGCCGGCATTGTGGCATAGTATGTAAGGCTGCCACCTGTAACACCGGCATCCCATATGGGCACCAGTTCGAGTCTTGGCTACTTTACTTCCAATCTAGCTCCATGTGAACATGCCTAAAAAAGCAGAATCCAAGTGCTTGGGCCCTTGCTACCCATGTGGGAGACCTGGATAAAACTCCTCTGACTTCAGCCTGGCCCATCCCTAGCTGTTACAGCTATCTGGGGAGGGAACCAGCGGATGGAAGATCTTTCTGTGTCTCTCCCTCTCTCTCTGTAACTGACTGTCAAATAATTAAATCTTTAAAAAAAGAAAATGTTTTTACATAAAGTATGAAGTTCTTATTTCACGAAAATGAGAAAACTGAGTTAATTTTTAAGATAAAGTCCTTGTAATCATTTTACAGTTCGTTCTTTGGTAGTTTTGCAAATCGAAGACCTTGATCAGTGCGTTTTGTTTTTAGTTGCCTGTGCCCCTAGAGTCTGTAAAAGAGATGCTGAATTCAGTCATGCAGGAACTTGAAGACTACAGCGAAGGAGGTCCTCTTTGTAAAAATGGTTCTTTGCGAAATACAGATTCAGAAATAAAACATTCTACACCATCTCCCACCTTATATTCTCTGTCACCTAGTAAAAGTTACAAGGTAGGTCAGAAGTAAATGAATTAAAATGAATTATACCATAGTGGCATATATTTCTTTTGTGGATATTTTAAATACTCTTGTTATTGGAAATTTTTTTTCAAGTATTCTCCCAAAACACCACCTCGATGGGCAGAAGATCAAAATTCCTTACTGAAAATGATCTGCCAACAAGTAGAGGACATTAAGGTAAATGACTTGATTCCTTTCACTGTACTCCTTATTCAAAGATTGTTCCCTTGACCCCTCCCTCCCTTTTCTCTAAAACTGGTCCAAAGTTCCCCTTCTGTGATTACCATAGAATCATCCTGTGTGTTATATACCTGTGTCGTAACCCTTAGCATGGTTTTGAAATCACTTACAAGTGCATCTGTTCCACAGACTGGGTTCTTCAAAGATAGTGTCTTGTCTAAAACATGATATGGTTCTTGGCACAGAAGAGATTTCTTAAGTGTTTGGATTGAATTATCGACATATACTAATTATCTTGCTCTGTTAATTGATTCTCAGATTGACTTTTTTTGTTTTGTTTTGTTTTGTTTTGTTTTTTTGACAGGCAGAGTGGACAGTGAGAGGGAGAGACAGAGAGAAAGGTCTTCCTTTTGCCGTTGGTTCACTCTCCTATGGCCACCACGGCTGGCGCGCTGCAGCCAGCGCAGTGCACTGATCCGAAGCCAGGAGCCAGGTGCTTCTCCTGGTCTCCCATGGGGTGCAGGGCCCAAGCACCTGGGCCATCCTCCACTGCACTCCCAGGCCACAGCAGAGAGCTGGCCTGGAAGAGGGGCAACTGGGACAGAATCCAGCGCCCTGACCGGGACTAGAACCCTGTGTGCCGGCGCCGCAGGCGGAGGATTAGCCTAGTGAGCCACAGCGCCGGCCCAGATTGACTTTTGGTGAGATGTGTATCAAACCTATAGTTAGGAATTGAAAATGATCTAAGCATCAAAAAGTCTTTTACCTTCTTAATAGTTTTCATTAGCAGGGATGCCAGCACTGCAGGCTTGGCTTTAACCTGCTGCACCACAGCACCAGCCCTAAAGGATGTTTTTTACAGGAACATTTTGTAGATAGGGGGATTGGGTATGGTATTACCATTTAGTTGTCTGTTAAGTAGTAGAGGATCAGATAGCCACACAGCTAGAAAGCAGTGTACCTGCTGTGTTGTCTAGGAAGTAGAGCAGTGTTAGGAATACATTTTGGAATCAGTGAGGGTCAACATATCTCTCTCCTCAAACATTTATCATTTCTTTGTTTCTTTTTAGTGCCTAAGTGTATTTAAGTTCTTTTTTTAATATATGGATAAATGAAAAGCTAGTATCTAGAGGTGCTTTGGAGTGTTAAGTAGTCAACATTGACTAAAGAGTGTAGTAGCCAGAAATTTATTATTATTTTTTTTTTTTTAAAGATTTTTTTTCCTTAAGAGATACATATTTATTTGAAAGGCAGAGTTACAGAAAGGAGGAAGGGAGGGGGGGAGAGAGAGAGAGATCTTCCGTCTGCGGATTCACTCCCCAAATGATTGCAATGGCTGGATCTGGGCCAGGCCAAAGCTGGGAGCCTGGAACTCCATCTGGGGGTCCCAGATGCAGGCAGTGATTTAACCGTTGTGCCATGGCGCTGCCCACCCACCCATTCTTCCATTCTTAGTACCACTGCCTTAATTTGTTCATGCTGATCTAACCTAAATAGCCTCCTAAATGATATCAGCTCCATTTCCAACCTACACTTGCCTACAATGAAGTAGTACCACATGGATACAGGGTCTCAAGGATTAGGGCCATCTTCTGCTACTTTCTTAGGTACGTTAGCCAGGATTCCATCCAGTGCCCATATGGGATGCCAGCATTGCAGGCAGCAGTTTCATGCTCTGTGCCACAGTGCTGGTCTTAGTCTTGTGTTTTTGAGCATGGGAGTTCAGGGGGTTCCGCTGGAGCTGAACTTTAAGAAGTTTAATGAAGGGGGCCAGCACTGTGGCATAGTAGGCTAAGCCTCCGGCTAGGGTGCCAGCATCCCATATGGACACTGGTTCAAGTCCTGGCTGCTCCTCTTCTGATCCAGCTCTCTGCTTATGGCCTGGGAAAGCAGTGGAAGATGGCCCAAGTCCTTGGGTCCCTGCACCCATGTGGGAGACCCGGAAGAGGCTCCTGGCACCTGGCTTTGGATCAGCTCCGCTCCAGTTGTTGCTGCCATTTGAGGAGTGAACCAACACAATGGAAGACCTTTCTCTGTCTAACTCTGCTTCTCAATAAATAAATAAAATCTTTTAAAATATTTATTTATTTATTTGAAAGTTAGAGTTACACAGAGAGAGAAGGAGAGGCAGAGAGATTAGAGAGAGGTCTTCCATCCACTGGTTCACTCCCCAGTTGGATGCAGTGGAGCTGCGCTGATCCAGAGCCAGGAGCCCAAGAACTTGGCACCATCTTCTCCTGCTTTCCCAGGCCACAGCAAAGAGTTGGTTTGGAAATGGAGCAGCGAGGACTAGAACCGGCGCCCATAGGGGATGCTGGCACTGCAGGCGGCGACTTTACACACTACGCCGCAGCTCCGGCGCCATAAATAAAAACTTAAAAAATCACGCTTGTGTTAGGCAAGTGTAAGTTGAAAATGGAGATGAAATCATTTAGTAGGCTATTTAGGTTAGAGTTTGCATGAATGAATAAAGACAGTGGTACTAAGAATGAAAGAATGGGGGTCAGCACTATGACACAATGGTTAAACCATGGCTTGCAGCACCAGCATCCCTTATGGGTGCCAGTTTGAGTCCTGGCTGCTCCATTTCTGATCCAGTTCTCCCTGCTAATGGACCTAGGAAAACAGTAGAGGATGGTCCAAGTCCCTGGGCTCCTGCATTCACTTGGGGGACCCAGAAGAAGCTCCTGGCATCTGGCTCCTGGCTTCAGCCGACCCAGCCCTAGTCATTCTGGCCATCTGGGGAGTGAACCAGTGGATGGAAGATTTCTCTCTGTCCTTCTCTCTCTGTATCTCTGCCTTTCATATAAATAAGTAACCATTTTATTTTTAAAAATATGAAAGAATGGGAACAGGTAAATTTCAGCATATGAAGGATCATGTTCTTAAAATAGCATCTGATACTCAGGTTTCACTGGAAAGAAGAATCTCTTAAAAGACATCATCAAGTGGCCAGCACTGTGGCATAGTAGGTTAAGTCTCCACCTATGGTACGAGCATCCCATGTGGGCGCCACTTTGAGTCCCAGCTACTCCATTTCTGATCCAGCTCCCTGCTGATGGCCTGGAAAGGAGACCCAGATGAAGCCCCTGGCTCCAGTCATTTGGGAGTAAATCAGTGAATGGAAGCTATCTCTCTCTCTCTAACTCTCTCTCTCTAACTCTGCCTCTCAAATAAATAAATATTTAATAAAAAAAAAACACATGCAAGTTTGGCTTTTTTTTTCCTTCTTGTTTTATTTGAGAGACAGAGAAGCACACATTAGGGAGAGACAGAGCTTCCTGTTTCTGGTTTACTCCATTAATACCTGCAGTGGCTAGAACTGGGTTGAGTGGGAAGCCTGAGCCTGCGGACTCAATCTAGGTCCCACATGAATGGTAAGGAATGTGGTCACTTGAGCTATCATCACCTGCTGCCTATTGAAGGTCTGTGTTGTCTGGAAGCTGGAATCAGAAGTAGGAAGTACAACCCGAGCAATCTGTTGTGGGGTCTTTTTTTTTTCTTTTCTTTTCTTTTTTTTGACAGGCAGAGTGGACAGTGAGAGAGAGACAGAGAGAAAGGTCTTCCTTTGCCATTGGTTCACCCTCCAATGGCTACCGCGGCTGGTGCGCTGCGGCCGGCGCACTGCGCTGATCCGAAGCCAGGAGCCAGGTGCTTCTCCTGGTCTCCCATGGGGTGCAGGGCCCAAGCACTTGGGCCATCCTCCACTGCACTCCCGGGCCACAGCAGAGAGCTGGCCTGGAAGAGGGGCAACCGGGACAGAATCCGGCGCCCCGACCGGGACTAGAACCCGGTGTGCCGGTGCTGCAAGGCGGAGGATTAGCCTAGTGAGCCGCGGCGCCGACCGTGGGGTCTTTCTTACCCACTAGGCCAAATGCTCACACTCATCAAGTATTAAATTTTAAAATATTTTGTTAAGTTTTCCCCAGCTCTGTTTTTGTATAATTGTTTAAAATTATTTTCTTCCAATAGAAAGAAATGCAGGAATTAAAACTAAATAGCAGTAACTCGGCATCCCCTCATCGTTGGCCCACAGAGAATTATGGACCAGACTCAGTGCCTGATGGATACCAGGGATCACAGACTTTTCATGGGGCTCCATTAACAGGTGAGCAGGCAATTGGATAATCCCAGGTTGATAAAAGTACTTAACTTCCTTCTCTTTCAATTCATTGACTTGTTTATGTGTGTTTGTTGTTATACATGGCAATATGTCTGCTTATATGTTGTTTAAAAAGCTGCTCTTGGTATTGATCTTTATGAGCATAAAGAAAATAAGCTCTGTCTGATGACTTGTATAGAAGGCTTAAAGAACCCTTTAATGACATGTCAGATGAGCAGAGTCTGAAGAGATCCCTCCTTAAATTGAAAAATGTTACCCTTTAGAGTCATGCCCTAAGAGATGCCTAATTACTAATTAAGAACTTAAACTTTCAGGGAATTACTTTGAGCCTGTACAGAGAGGCTGGTAATATTAATTGTGAAATATGACTATATATCGAGGGAACAGGAGTTTTGAGTTAGATCATAGTGGGTTTTTAAGTTTTTGCTGTATCATCTACAAGCTGTGTAGTTAACTTTTGAAATGTGAAAATACTTCTCTCACATAATTACTGTGAGCATTTGTGTGCATACAAGTCGGTATGGATGTGTAGTAAGCATTTATTCTTTATGTACAGTAAACACTTAACTTGCTATGAGTTAGTTATTTGCAGAAGTTTGTGTATGTAATCATAGTAACTCAAGAGATAGTTAATCCCAGTTTTACAGGTGAAATGTGTTTAAAATCTCATGTGTTTAAATCTGATGTGACAGGTTACAGTCAGAATGCATGCAGGTATACTAAAAATACTATGTAAAATCACCTTCAGACAATGTGTAAAAGGTGCGTATGCGACATAAATGAATTATGTGTGTAGACTTGGGTCTCATTCCCAAGATATCTCATTATGCACATATTATGCACTTATTCCAGAATCCAAAATAATGTGTGCATTTAAGATAAGGGAAATGCAACCTGTAGTAGTGTGTATTTTTTTCTAATTGTTTTTACACTTAGCCAAAAGGCTGAGAAACGATCTCTAATTGTTTGTAACCCAGGAAACATTTAGGATGATACAGTTGTGCATTGAGTAGAGTGTGTATAGGTAGGATAAAGACACTGGCTAGCCTTTTCCATGGCTTTTTTAGTACTGGGTATGGTCAGTAACTGAGCACTTCTTGAGATCACAATTTCCATTTCTTCTTTGTGCAGGCTAAAAGGGCTTTTGGTGATACGCGCTTGTGAATTGAGCATTTTTACATTGCCTCACTTTATTCTTGCTGTGGCTTTCATGTGTAAAAGCATACATCCTCATTTTACAGTTGACAGCAGTGTAGATTTCAAATGACTTGTTGACAGTGTTCACAAGTCACTTATAGCACTGAGAGAGACCAGGTTCCCTGATTCTTCTCCCGTGTTCATAGACTTCTTTTTCTAAATAGGAATAAAAATATATCAAAATGGTCCTTGTCTTTTTTTTTTTTTTTTTTTTTTTTTTTTTTTTTTTTTTTTTTTTGACAGGCAGAATGAACAGTGAGAGAGACAGCAAGGTCTTCCTTTTTGCCGTTGGTTCACCCTCCAATGGCGCTGATCCAAAGGCAGGAGCCAGGTGCTTATCCTGGTCTCCCATGGGGTGCAGGGCCCAAGGACTTGGGCCATCCTCCACTGCACTCCCTGGCCACAGCAGAGAGCTGGCCTGGAAGAGGGGCAACCGGGACAGAATCCAGCGCCCCAACCAGGACTAGAACCCGGTGTGCTGGTGCCTCAAGGCGGAGGATTAGCCTATTGAGCTATGGCGCTGGCCAGCCCTTGTCTTTTAAAAAAAAAACTATATTTCTCAGAAGCATTTTATTTAAGGTATACAGACTTCATGCATTTTGTAAATACAACTGTAGGAACATAGTGATTCTTCCCATTGTACCCTCCTTCCCATCCGCACTGCACCCTTCCTCCTTCTATTCCCATTCTTATTTTTTACTAAGATCTATTTTCAATTAACTTTATTCATGTAAGATTAACTCTACACTATGTAAAGAGTTCAACAAATAGTATAAAGAAAAACCTGTTCCTCAACAGTCGAATCAAGGGCTGTTCAAAGTGTCATTTTCACTTCTATAGATTACCTTTTAGGTGTTCCTTTAGTTATCACAGATCAGGGAGAACATATGGTATCTGTTTCTGGACTGGCTTATTTCACAAAGTATGATGCTTTCCATTTTGTTGCAAATGACAGGATTTCATGTTTTTATGGTCTGCCATGTGGTCTATCCTAGAGAAAATTCCATGCACTGGTGAGAAGAATGTTTATTCTGCAACTGTAGGTTGAAAAGTTCTGTAGATACCTGTTAGATCCCTTTCGTCTATAGTGTCGATTAATTCTTGTTTCCTTGCTGATTTTTGCCTGGTTGATTGGTCCATTGCTGAAAGTAGGGTATTGAAGTCCCCCATTGCTACTGTATTGGAGTCTGTGTCTCCTTATAGATTCATTAACATTTCTTTTAAATAGCCAGCTGCCCTGTAATTAGGTGCATATACATTATAGCCACATCTTGCAGTTGAATTGACCCCTTACTCATTTCATAGTGCCCTTCTTTGTCTCTTAACAGTTTTTGTGTTCAAGTCTATTTTGTCTGATATTAGGATGACTCCACCAACTATTTTCTGGTTTCTGTTAGTATGGAATATCTTTTTCCATCCTTTCACTCTGAGCCTGTGTAATTTTTGTTAGTGAGATGTGTTTCTTGTAGGCCACAAATATATATAGGTTTTGTTTTTTAATCCATTCAGCCAGCCTGTATCTTTTAACTGGAGAGTTGAGACCATTTACATTCAAGGTGATCATTGATAAGTAACAATTTGGGCCGGTGCTGTGGCTCACTAGGCTAATCCTCTGCCTGTGGCACCGGCACCCTGGGTTCTAGTCCCGGTTGGGGCGCCGGATTCTGTCCTGGTTGCTCCTCTTCCAGTCCAGCTCTGTTGTGGCCCAGGAGGGCAGTGGAGGATGGCCGAAGTGTTTGGGCCCTGCACCCACATGGGAGACCAGGAGGAAGCACCTGGCTCCTGGCTTCAGATTGGCGCAGCGTGCCGGCTGTAGCAGCCATCTGGGTGGTAAACCAATGGAAGGATGACCTTTCTCTCTGTCTCCCTCACTAACTCTGCCTGTCAAAAAAAAAAAAAAAAAAAAAGTAACAATTTGGCCCTGCCATTTTTCCATAAATATTACTGTTGTTTACTTTGGATTTCCTTTGTGCTTTTACTGGGAAATTTTCTGCTTTCCCCTTCTTTCATAGTGATGACCATGTTTCTGTGTTTCTGTGTGTAGCATATCCTTTAGCATCTTTCATACGGCTGAACAAGTGGTATGAATTCTGTCAATTTCTGTTTGTTATGGAAGGTGTTTATTTCATCTTCATTCAGAAATGAGAGCTTTGTGGGGTACAGTATTCTGGGTTGATAGTTTTTTTCCTCTTAAGACTTGGAATATATCTCTCTATTCTCTCCTAGCCTCTAGGGTTTTGGTGAGAAGACAGCTGTGAGTCTAACTGGAGATCCTCTGAAAGTAATCTGGCATTTCTCTCGTATACATTTTAGAATCTTTTCATTATCATTTACTGTGGAGAGTTTGACTACAATGTGTCGTGGTGAAGATCTTTTCCAGTCATGTCTATTAGGAGTTCTGTGTGCTTCCTGTACTTGGACTTCCCTTTGTTTCTCCAAATTAGAGAAGTTTTCTATAATTATTTCACTAAAAAGGCCATCTAATCCATTCTCTTTCCACACCTTCAGGAACTCCTAGGACCTGTATATTGGGTTGTTTGATAGCATCCCATAGATATCCAACACTGTTTTTTAGTTCTCTAATTTTTTATTGGTCTGACTAAAATTTCTAGAGATAGGTCTTCTAACACAACAGCCAGGAGCTTCTTCCAGGTCTCCCACACAGGTGCAGGGACCCAAGGATTTGGGCCACTTACTGCTTTCCCAGGCCATAGCACAGAGCTGGATTGGAAGAGGTGATGCTGGAACTAGAATGGGTGTCTATATGGGATTCCAGCGCCTCAGGTGGAGGCTTAACCTACTATGCCATAGCACCAGCCCTTGATTTCTCTTTAAAATCTCAATTTCATGGAAAAATTTTCATTCATGTCATGTATGGATTTTATTTGTGGATTTGCTTCTGATTATCTCTAAGTAATCCTACGATCAGTTTTTTTTTTTTAATTCTATTTCCAGCATTTCATCAGTCTCTTCATCTTCACATTCTTATATTAAAGTGTTATGGTTCCTTGGAAGTATCATGTTGTGTACTTTATTCTTGCTTCTTAAATAGCTGCATTTATTTTTAGGAATTTGTATAGACAATTGTTGAATCCCCCCCCCCCCCGCGTGATGGCTTTTATCTTTGGTCTGTGCCTCTGTGGCTTAGTGGAGTGTTTGCTCTTTCAGTAAATACCCAGAGGTGAGTGCTGGGTGTAGCTAGTGAGCTCAGTTTAGTGCTCCAGGGTGAAAGGAGTCCAAGGTGACACCCAAGTAGAGTGTGGTAAATCTCTTCTCTCTTTGTTTTAAATCAGAGGAGAGTTTTCAGTGTGAGCATGGATCCTCCAGCAATTACCCTCACCAGGGACTCGGGAAGCCCTGAGCATGTGGACCCGCCCACAGTGACTACCCAAAGACCCAGCCACACCCTGCACCCTCCCACACAGCCACAGTGATTTCACAGTCCCAGCACACAAGGCTCCCACAGTCACTAGCACCCAGCCCACATCAGTCCTCCCAGCCAGACTCGGGCCTCTCCTCTCAGCTAGTTGCTGGCACGTATATGTTCAAAATGGTGCCCACCCTCTTTCGGCTTGTTACAGGATGCCAGTGCTGGCTGGTCAGGGAGAGAAATGTGCTCCCCTCCTTTTTTTTTTCCCTCTAGGTTGGCAGGTACACTGTCTCCTTCAGGACTCCAAGCTAGATTCAAGCCAGGCTTTATCACCAATGGCTTGGACTGCTGCATTCTGGTCTTATCTCACTCTCCAAAGCTGATGCTGCGGATCTCAGCTGGGATCCTGAGTTGTACATGTCCACACCCTCCATGTAGATCCACAGTGTCCCTGCATAGCATTTCCTCTGGAGTTTTCTCCCAAACTCTTCCCTCAGAGTGTACTCTCTCTACTTTTTTCTAAAATTTTTTAATGATTAAAACACAAAGATTAATAAGGCTGTAACAAATACTCAGAAGTATTGAGCGTGAAAAAAAGGACAAAGTAATAGCCTTTCTATTACGTAGAAGCCCTATTACTGTTTTGGAGCATTCTTTTCTAGTTCTTCCTCTTTTTATACATATAGTATTTTTTATGAGATTGTTACCTTGTTACTATTTCATGGTAGGTGAGTTAGCTTGTTTTGAAAAAGCTACATTCATTTCTGGACATTTTTTAAATTAAATATTCCTTGGAAATACTATTAAAGTGTTATGCCATTATGTGGAAGCATTGCAAGTTCTGTTCCCTTGTATATGCTAGTATGAATAATGCTGTGGATACATTTCTGTGGTTGTAGGATATTTTAAAAATTCAGTTTATGCTTTTACCACTATATATGGTATTGCTATTACACTCTTTCTAGTGTTGACTATGTATCAGTTTATAGAAATGATTGAATTTGCAAGCAGAAAAGTGGTATCAGTTTTTAAATAATTTATACTAAACTGTTTCACACTTCATAGCTTTTTATTTTTCTTTCCTGTATTTATTCATGTGGTGCTTCTTTCCATGAAAATATTTTTTGTAGCTTAATAATAAGCTTTTCATCTCCCCTCTCCCCACTGGTAAGAATTACTTTACTGGTCACTGTTACAGTCCCTACTTAAACTTGAGATTTAAGAATTCTTGGCTTTCATATGTTTAGCCTAGTGTTTCCAGTCACTACACAATTCTAATTAGGTTTCCAAATTTAAATTTGGGCTTCTGGTTAGGCTTTTCTAGGTCATTAATGCTTTCCAGGGTTAGTTATGTGGCACCTTTTGGGTCACAATTTCTATTTCTTGTTCCATATCCAGACATACAAAGAACTGGAGGTTATTTTGTTTTCTGGAAACTGATAAAAAACAAATCAAGCAATGACTGGTACAATATAAATGTCTTCTAGTTGCTTGGTTTCCTAGTAAAACTGTCAGAAAACAGATGAAGCAGATTGTTATTAAATCATAAGTATTCTCTTTCTTCTTTCTCCACCTCCATCCCTTCTTCCTTCCCCTTACTCCCCTCTCCTCCCTTTTGTCCTCCTTTTTTTTTTTTTTTAAGCAACAATTTGTGTTACTTGTGAGATCTCTTCCGTAATTTATTAGGTGATTTTCACCTTAATGTTTTCAGCAGTAGCTTGAATGTAGCAAAAGCTGCCTACCTCATCATTCTGCAGATTTTCAAGGCACACGTCAAAAACGTGGCCTTTGAGATAATTTTGGTTCTTTGACTTTTTATCTGTGACTAGTGTATTTCCAGTGTTTCTGAGTTGAGCATGATGTGCTTTTACATTCTGCTGATAGTTATTAGAAATCGACCAACTACTCTTTCGGTTCCTTTTTTGATGCTTGTTAGGTGTTCTTGACCATTGCACTGCCATCCTCTTATTCCTCATTTCATATTTAGCAATTTTTTTCCTAGTTTGCATTTGATAATTATTGTTATGGTGTATTTTGATGTGCATAATTAAAAACCCTTTGTAGTTATTAACGCTTTCTCTGATTTCTATTGCTTTTGTATTTATAGTTCTTGTATAGATAGGGCTAACTGTATAACAGTGTTTTCTTTCCTTTTCTCCCCCTTTTTTAGTTTCAACTACTGGTCCTTCAGTATATTATAGTCAGTCACCAGCATACAATTCCCAGTATCTCCTCAGACCAGCAGCTAATGTTACTCCCACAAAGGTAACCGAGGAATAATTTATATAATTTATAAATATCACCTTTTTAATTGAGTTATTCCTTTAAAGGAATAAATTCAGGTTCAGTTCTTAAATTTATATGTTGCTGAATATAAAGATATTAATGCAGAAGTTATACTTTTTAGTAACCTTATTTTGTGTTAAAATAAATTTGAACATTTAGAATATTTTAATTAGAATGGTGATAGTTTTGGGTTCTTGACCATTCTGTTTTGATAGAAATAAGATTAGAATGTTCTTTTTAAAACACTGTATGGTAAGTACTTCTAGGCCTAATATAAATATTAAGACAATATTGCAGCAGTAGTTGAATGTGTGGGCTTTGAGGGTTGATAGCATGTAGACCCTTGATTTTCTCTTTACTTTGACCATTCACAAGTTTCTTAACCTCTTTATGTATCAGTTGCCTTGTGTAAAATGAGCATAAGTCTTTTAATTCATAGTTTTTGAGAATATTAAGATATATCTAAAATGCTTAGAGCTGTGCCTAAATTGCCATGTTAGTACATGTTTACTAAATGTTATAATGTTCATCAGCAGCAGCATCAGTAGTGTTAGTATTTTTTAATAAATTATTTAGTAAGGAACATATTTGCTCTTTGAATTTATTGTAGAGGTAGATTTTTTAAGATGGTGTCATTTGTTGATTTTTGTTATGTACTGAGTAATAATGCTGTCTTCTCTTAATGATGTACTTTGTACCCTAATGATATTTCTTTCAACTGATAGTACTCAAGTTTGAGGTTTGTGATAGTTGGTTTGTATCTAGCTATTTATAGTTTTTAATACAATCTGTAAAACATTTTAACTTTTTTTCTTTTAGGGTCCGGTTTATGGCATGAATAGGCTTCCACCCCAACAGCATATTTACGCGTATTCACAGATGCACACACCACCAGTGCAAAGCTCATCTGCTTGTATGTTCTCTCAGGACATGTATGGTCCTCCATTGCGTTTCGAGTCTCCTGCAACAGGAATTATGTCACCCAGGGGTGATGATTATTTTAATTACAGTGTTCAGCAGCCAAACACAAACCCATCCTTGCCAGAACCAGGATATTTCACAAAACCACCTCCAGTGGCAAATCATGCTTCAAGATCTGCCGAATCTAAGGTTATAGAATTTGGAAAAACAAGTTTTGTTCAGCCTGTGCCAGGTGAAGGAATAAGGCCGTCATTGACAACACCCGCACATACAACACAACCACCTCCTTTTAAGTTTAACTCGAATTTCAAGTCAAATGATGGTGACTTCACATTTTCCTCACCTCAGGTTATGACGCAACCCCCTTCTGCACCTTATGGTAGTAGTGAAAGGCTTTTAGGTCTCCTGACTTCAGATAAACCTTTACAAGGAGAGTGCTATAGTGGTCCAAAGCCAATTCCTAGTCAGACCATCGGGCCTCGGAATACATTCAATTTTGGAAGCAAAAATATGTCTGGAATCTCATTTACAGAAAACATGGGGCCAAATCAGCAAAAGAATTCAGGGTTCCGTCGAAGTGATGACATGTTTACTTTCCATGGACCAGGGAAGTCAGTGTTCGGGACACCTGCTCCAGAGCTGGCGAGCAAGAACCATGACACAGACGCAGGCAGTGCCCATGGAGATGAGGATGAGGATGGCCCGCACTTTGAGCCCGTGGTCCCTCTTCCTGATAAAATCGAAGTGAAGACTGGTGAGGAAGATGAAGAAGAATTCTTCTGTAATCGTGCTAAATTATTCCGCTTCGATGGAGAATCCAAAGAATGGAAGGAACGTGGGATTGGCAATGTAAAAATACTGAGGCATAAGACATCTGGTAAAATTCGTCTTCTGATGAGGCGAGAGCAAGTATTGAAAATCTGTGCAAATCATTACATTAGTCCAGATATGAAATTGACACCAAATGCTGGATCAGACAAATCTTTTGTATGGCACGCCCTTGATTATGCAGATGAGTCGCCGAAACCAGAACAGCTGGCTATTAGATTCAAAACTCCTGAGGAGGCAGCGCTTTTTAAGTGCAAGTTTGAAGAGGCCCAGAGCATTTTAAAAGCCTCAGGAACTAACTTAGCAACAGCACCAAATGAGACTATCAGAACTGTAAAAGACTCCGCAAGTCATGACAACAAGGATATTTGTAAATCTGATGCTGGAAACATGAATTTTGAATTTCAAGTTGGAAAGAAAGAAGGGTCTTGGTGGGGCTGTAACAGCTGCTCCTTGAAAAATGCTGCAACTGTGAAGAAATGTGTATCATGCCAAAATCTAAACCCAAGTAGTAAAGAGCTCCTTGGCCCACCATTAGTTGAAACAGTTCCTGCTCCTAAAACTGGCCCAGCGAATGCTCAGGATAGATTTGCCTCAGTGGCTCCAGTGAAAGAAGGTTATTGGGACTGTAGTGTTTGTTTAGTAAGGAATGAACCTACTGTATCTAAGTGCAGTGCATGCCAAAGTACAAAATCTGCTAACAAAACTGGGTCTTCATTTGTTCATCAGGCTTCCTTTAAATTTGGCCAGGGAGATCTTCCTAAGTCTGTCAATAGTGACTTCAGGTCTGTGTTCTCTATGAAGGAAGGACAGTGGGATTGCAGTTTGTGCTTAGTGCGGAATGAAGGGAGCGCTGCAAAATGCATTGCCTGTGAGAATCCAAGAAAACAGAGTCTACCTGCCTCTGCTGTTGCAGCTCCTGCCTCTTTCCAGTTTGGTACTTCAGAGACAAGTAAAGCACCAAAGAGCGGATTTGAGGATGTTTTTGCCGAGAAGGAAGGACAGTGGGACTGCAATGTCTGCTTGGTGCGAAATGAACCAGATGCTACAAAATGCATTGCCTGTCAGAATCCAGCTAAACCAGGCCCACCTGCTGCTGCTGCAGCCCCTGCCTCTTTCCAGTTTGGTACTTCAGAGACGAGCAAGGCTCCTAAGAGCGGATTTGAGGGGATGTTCGCCAAGAAGGAAGGACAGTGGGACTGCAGTTTGTGCTTAGTAAGAAATGAAGAGACTGCTACCCAATGTATTGCTTGTCAGAGTCCAAACCCGCAGAACCAGCCTACTTCTGCTGTTCCAGCATCTGCCTCTGCAGAGATGAGCAAGGCTCCAAAGACTGGACTGGAAGGACTGTTCCCCAAGAAGGAAGGACAGTGGGATTGTAGTGTTTGCCTTGTACAAAATGAAGGTTCTTCCTTAAAATGCGTGGCTTGTGGTGCCTCTAAATCAACTCATAAGCCCATTGCAGAAACTCCCTCAGCTTTCACATTGGGCTCCAAAACAAAGTTAAGTGACTCTTCTGCAAGTCAGGTAGAGACAGGATTCAAAAGTAACTTTTCAGAAAAAGCTTTTAAATTTGGCAGTACGGCAGAGCAAGGGTTTAAGTTTGGACATGCAGATCCAGAAAATGCACCGTCATTTACATTTCAGGGTTCTTCTAATACAGAATCCAAGTCAACAAAAGAAGGGTTTAGTTTTTCAATTCCTGTGTCTGCTGATGGCTTTAAATTTGGTATTCAGGAACAGGGAAATCAAGAGAGGAATGAGAAACACCCTGAAAATGACACTGGTTTCCAGGCACAGGATGCTAGTAGCCAAAAGAATGGTAGTGGTGTGATCTTTGGTCAAAAAAGTAGCACTTTTACCTTTGCAGATCTTGCAAAGTCAACTTCAGGAGAAGGATTTCAGTTTGGCAAAAAAGACCCCAATTTCAAGGGATTTTCGGGTGCTGGAGAAAAATTATTCTCATCACAGAGTGGTAAAATTGCTGATAGAACCAACACTTCTGCTGATCTTGAGAAAGATGATGATGCCTATAAGACTGAGGAAAATGATGACATTCATTTTGAGCCAGTAGTTCAGATGCCTGAAAAAGTAGAACTTGTAACAGGAGAAGAAGATGAAAAAGTTCTGTATTCACAGCGGGTGAAACTGTTTAGGTTTGATGCTGAGATAAGTCAGTGGAAAGAACGGGGCTTAGGCAATTTAAAAATTCTCAAAAATGAGGTGAATGGAAAACTAAGAATGCTGATGCGAAGAGAACAAGTCCTAAAAGTGTGCGCTAATCATTGGATAACAACTACAATGAACCTGAAGCCTCTCTCTGGATCAGATAGAGCGTGGATGTGGTTGGCTAGTGATTTCTCTGATGGTGATGCCAAACTAGAACAGCTGGCAGCAAAATTTAAAACACCAGAGCTGGCTGAAGAATTCAAGCAGAAGTTTGAGGAATGCCAGCGACTTCTGTTAGATATACCACTTCAGACTCCCCATAAACTTGTAGATACTGGCAGAGCTGCTAAGTTAATACAGCGAGCTGAAGAAATGAAGAGTGGACTGAAAGATTTCAAAACGTTTTTGACAAATGATCAGACAAAAGTCAGTGATGAAGAGAGTAAGAGTTCCGACGCAGGGTCGGCCAATGCTTCAGATACAACAATCAAGCCAAATCCTGAAAACACGGGGCCCACGTTAGAGTGGGACAACTATGATTTAAGGGAAGATGCTTTAGATGATAGTGTAAGTAGCAGTTCAGTACATGCTTCTCCATTGGCAAGCAGCCCTGTGAGGAAAAATCTTTTCCGCTTTGGTGAGTCAACAACAGGATTCAACTTCAGTTTCAAGTCTGCTTTGAGTCCATCTAAGTCTCCTGCCAAGTTGAATCAGAGTGGGACTTCAGTTGGTACTGATGAAGAATCTGATGTGACTCAAGAAGAAGAGCGAGATGGCCAGTACTTTGAACCTGTTGTACCTTTACCTGACCTAGTAGAAGTATCCAGTGGTGAGGAAAATGAGCAAGTAGTTTTTAGTCACAGAGCAAAACTCTATAGATATGATAAGGATGTTGGTCAGTGGAAAGAAAGGGGCATTGGTGATATAAAGATTTTACAGAATTATGATAATAAGCAAGTTCGTATAGTGATGAGAAGGGACCAGGTATTAAAACTTTGTGCCAACCACAGAATAACACCAGATATGACACTGCAAAATATGAAAGGGACAGAAAGAGTATGGGTGTGGACTGCTTGTGATTTTGCAGACGGAGAAAGAAAAATAGAACATTTAGCTGTGCGTTTTAAACTACAAGATGTTGCAGACTCATTTAAGAAAATTTTTGATGAAGCAAAAGTAGCCCAAGAAAAGGATTCTTTGATAACACCGCACGTTTCTCGGTCAAGCACTCCTAGAGAGTCACCATGTGGCAAAATTGCTGTAGCTGTGTTAGAAGAAACCACACGAGAAAGGACGGATTTAATTCAGGGTGATGACGTAGCAGACACAACTTCCGAAGTTGGAGAAGGGTCTAGCACAACTGAAACAACAACAAAAGCAGTGGTTTCTCCTCCCAAATTTGTGTTTGGTTCAGAGTCCGTTAAAAGCATCTTTAGTAGTGAAAAATCAAAGCCATTTGCATTCGGCAACAGTTCAGCCACTGGGTCTTTGTTTGGATTTAGTTTTAATGCACCTTTGAAAAATAACAACAGTGAAACTAGTTCAGTAGTCCAGAGTGGATCTGAAAGAGAACTGGAACCTGCCAAGTCTGAACTGTCGAAGAGCTCTGATCTCAAACATCCTTCAGATGGCAAAGCCAGAAATCTCTTGGCTTCCTTTCCAAAGGAAGAAGCCTCAACCGGTTACATCTTTAAAACACCAGAAAAGGGTAAGTGCTTAGTTTTTAGAGTTAAGCAGTTTTTTTCTTTTAATGTTCTTTATGTAGACTCTCTGTAGAATAGTACTGTTATTCATAGTTGGATTGTAAACATTGCTTTGTAAACCCAAAAAATATTTCTGATTTTTTACCTCAGGTTCACCCATGAGTATTCACACAGCAGCAGATGTTGTTTATTTGCTAGCGATTTCAATAATTAGAAGATATTGATAGCATATACGGTAGAGTGAAAGAACCCCAAACAGCTTAAAGAGCCCTGTACTTGATTCATGAGTGTTAACTGAGCCTTTGTAAAGTGTTCATTCTCCAATTTATTATTAGCACTCAAAAAGCATTATGTTTTTCAGAAATTCACATATGGGTTAGTCTTACCACCATTTTTTACACCTTTTATTAAGTAAGCAAAAAAATAGAACCACTATGTTAGATGAATAGATTAAGACAACTAGATGAATATCAATTGAGAGACTGTCTTTTTATATTTTAAAATCCTATTTGTTTCCCAAAATGTTCAAAAATGAATGCTCTTTATTTTCTAGGATTTAATTTTAGCCTTTTTAAATCTAATCCAATGGCTTTTTGGACCAGCACCCCTTCCTCACAGCCTGAGAGTGGAGGTATAGAAACAGTATTCTCCAGTATGAGATGGCGAGCAGCTGGTAGTCCTTAGTAAAGTGGTTGTGGCTGTGTATGATTCAGTACTTAACAACATGCATGTTTGAGAATGCCAGTTTACGTAGAGTATCTTTTGACTGATGATGTGGTACCCTTTACTGCTGTTTTTAAAAGATTTACTTGGATTCATGTTTTCTCCTTACCCATTGTTTTTTTGCTGTGTTGTCCTTTATTGCTTTATTATTTCAACTCTGGTAAATGAAGATTATGTTTTGCCTAACCTTTGTCTTTAGCCACTAATGTCTGCCCGTATTCAAACCTTGTGGCAGCAGCATGCTTACAATATGAAACAGTGCACTCTGTAGGGCTCTCTTTTTTTGTCAGCTGTATTTGAAAATAGACCGTATTTTAAGCGCCATCATTGTATAGCTTGTATGTTTTGTATGTAGCACTGATGGCTTGCAAAAGTACAATGGTGCTGCTAGAGTGGAGCAATTGAAAGTGGGATCTGTTGCAGATCTTCAAGAGCAAGGTTGGAGAAATGAGCTCACCATCAGTGTCTGATAACACAATTTGAGCATGCCAAACAGTACAGTGATAAAGGGCAGTCTGATTTCTGGGGCCTTCCATTTCAGAATATACCAGTTATTACTAGTGAAGGTAGTTCTTAGAATCTTTTATTCCTTTTTTTTTATTAAAATTTATTTATTTACTTGAAAAGCAGAGAGGCAGAGAGAGAGAGAGAGAGATCGATCTTGCATCCACTGGTTCACTCCTCAAATGCCTGCAACTGCCGGAGCGGGGCCAATCCGAAACCAGGAGCCAGGCGCTTCTTCCGAGTCTCCCATGCGGGTGCAAGGGCCCAAGGTCTTGGGCCATCTTTAACTGATCCAGCAGTGGAGAAGCCAGGACATGAACCATGGCAATATGGGATGTCGGCGCTGCAGGCGAAGGCTTTACCTGCTACGCCACAGCACAGGCCCCCAGAATCTCTTATTCTGAAAGAAATTGTGTGAAAAAGGTGGACGTTATAAACTGAATATATACTTGTGGTGCACAGTCTCTGTGGATACTAGGTTAAGACTCTGACCTGAGAGTGAATTTACCACTATGGTTACCAAAGGACAGTTTGAATCTGGTAAGATCATAGTTTCTTGAGACCTTAGAACTGAAGACCTCAGACATAAGGATACCAAAGTCTTGAAAGCTTGTCTGATTTACCCAAGACATCTTTACCAGCTAATAACAGAACCAGAACAAGAATCTGTATTTTATGGTGTTCTGTATTAGCTAGAATTGTTACTAAGTTTTTGTAATGGAGGGGCTTTAGTTTTCTAGAGCAGTTCATCCATTAGAAATAAAAGGTGACCTGTGTATGCAATTTAAGATTTTCTAGTAGCCACATTAAATAAAGGGGGGGGGGGACAGGTTAAGAAAAGGGAAACATGAAATTAATTTAATAATATATTTGATTTAACCCATTTTGCCCAAAACATCACTTATAATTATATAGAAAGTTAGATGTTTTAAGCATTCTTTTTTTTATACCAAGTTTTCAGACTGTAGTGTGTATGTTTACACTTACAGCATATTTCATTGTAGGTTTGCCACCTTTCAAGTGTTTAACATGTGTTAGGCTATGATATTGGATGGTATAACTCTAAAGAACATCTTCCCAGTACTAGGTCATGCCAGCATACTTCTGTTCTTCTAGGAAGACCACAACAGACTATATACAGAATTGATTTTCTCCCTGTCATTTTTTGGCCCTTTCATTGATGGACTGGGGAGGGAGAAATTTTTTAAAGATTGTTTAATTTGAAAGAGTGACAGAAATAGCCTGGTGAAGGAGGAGAGTAGTTCATTCCCTAAATGCCCACAGCAGCCAATGTCCAGACCAGGCCTATGTCAGGAGCCAGGAACTCCATTCAGGTCTCTCTCATGAGTGGCAGGGGCCCAGGCACGTGGGCCGCCATTGGGCTTTTCCAGGCACAGTAGCACAGAGCTGGATTGGAAACGGAGCTTCCTGGACTAGAACTGACGCACATATGGGATGCTGGCATCGCAAGGCAGCAGCTTTACCCTCTGTGCCACAATGCTGGCCCTCTTTGATTTTAAATAGATGTGGTCACTAGAGGTTTTCGGTAGAACACTGAATCAGGATGCGAATTCTAATTCTAATTATTTTAGAGCTCTGCCATCAGAGCCATGTGTGTTTTTATCAGTATGCTGTTTTAATCCCCAGCTAGGTTCCATTTCAGCTAGAATGTTAATGTTAATTCTTAACACCTTTATCTTTTTTTTTTAACTTGTGTTATAGCAAAAGAGAAGAAAAATTCTGCAGATCTTCCTCCAGATGATGATGTTCTCATTGTGTATGAACTAACCCCGACTCCTGACCAGAAAGCCCTTGCAGCGGAGCTTAAACTTCCTCCAACTTTCTTCTGCTATAAGAATAGACCAGATTATGTTAGTGAAGAAGAGGAGGATGGTAAATCCTTTGTCATTTTGAAAGTTTTCTGTTCCCACCAATCTTAGTAATTGACAGTATGGTTTATTTATTTAAAGCTTGCCTCTTAGAACTCATCACTGATACCCTTACAGGTAGATACTTAGTGTTGGGATGTATGAAAATAGTCAATAGATGTAACGAGCAAATGAATGGCATTCATCTAGCAACTTTTTGGGGGCAGCTATCATATGCTGAGCAGGCATTTTTTAAGAGAATTGAAAGGGCACACAGGGTTCCAATGACAGAAAATTTTGTGTGCCATTTAAAAGTTTTTAAGCTAGATAGCTACATTCCCAGCCAAGCCTCAACGTGATAAATTGACAGTGGATTGGGTTGTGGGACAGGAGCTTTGAAAATGTAGAAGTGATATCAGAGCAGTTCATAATCAGAGGAAATTCTGAGCAGAAGCTGTGACAGAAGGAGATGTAGACTTGGTAAAATGGGCTGCTATTTAGATGGGGAGAGTGACATTGAAGATAGCAGACTAGGAAAAGACCCAGACTTACTAGAAATTATTAAATATAATCGATTTTACTTTAAGACGAAGATTTTGAAACAGCTGTCAGAAAACTTAATGGAAAACTCTATCTGGATGACTCAGAAAAATGTAAGCCCTTGGAAGACAATCTAACAGGTATGTTAAGTATAAGGAACTACCGTGATATTTTCAACAAATCTACTTAAAAGCAACTGCTTAGTCTAATCATTTCTGTAATTATCAATTTTACTTATATGACTGTGATGATTGAAAGTATTTTAAAATTATACTAGGTGTAAAACATTGTTTTCCTGGTGGTTTTTATTCTCCATTAGCATTCACAGGTTGTTTTTTAAGATTTACTTATTTCCAGTGACTTGAACAGCCCTTGTCTTGACTGTCGGAACAGTTTATTATTTTTTAATTATTTTTTCTACTTAATACCATTGGTTGAACTCTTAACATAGAATTAATCATAAGGGTATAAAGTCAAGTGAAAATAGATCCCAATAAAAAATAAGAGTGGGAATAAGAGAGGAAGGAGCTATACAGTTCTGCACACATTCCCTTGGACCTACCCCTAAGGGTAAAGCTAAAAACTTGCCATGGGACTCCAAATCCCTTAAGCTGGGTGGTACTAATTCCATCTTAATGTGTTAAAGTGATCATATTAAGTATATAGTTGATCATATAGATAGGATTAAGTGTCAAAGGGATCACATAAATAAGACCAAGTGTCTGGTAATAACAATAGATAGAATTAAAAAGGAGAGGATGTTCTAACATGGGAAGCAGGCCACACAGCAAACTCATAGAATGACAAATGCACTCAACAGCACTCTGACCTAAGAATCATAAATTAAGGCATTTGGATCTGGCTAAAAAACCCATGAGAGCATTTCAGGCACGGAAAGCCAAGACACTGTGGCAAAAAATGTTCTACATGAAGGATCTCCGTGAGTGAGATCCCAGTGGAAAGAGAGGAGAGAACTTCCACTTTGCTTATGGCCCTGTCTAAATACTGACAGTCTGTGGACTCAAGGCTTCTGTAACATTGGCAGCTCATGTCAGGATCCTTGGGTGGTCACTGACATCATAAATAAGATGTCAGTTGTTAGATCAACAACAGGAGGCACTGTGTACTTACTCCCCATGTAGGACCTCTGTCCTTAATGAGTTGTACTATGAGAATTAACTGTAAAACTTGTTTTCAAACAGTACTTTATACTTTGTGTGTGGGGGGGTGCAAACAGTTCAAATCTTTACTTAGTATAGAGTTGGTCTTCTATATAAAATTAATTAAAAACGAATCTTAATGAAGAATGGGATGGATGGGAGAGGGAGCAGGAGGTGGGACGGGAGTGGGGATGGGGGAAGAACCACTATATTCCTAAAGCTGTACCTATGAAAACTGTATTCATTAAATAAAAGCTTTCTTAAAAAAAAAAAAAGATGTATTTATTGAGGCCGTGATCACAGGTTGCTGGTGTTTTTTTTTTTTTTTTTTTTTTTTTTTAAAGATTTATCTATTGAGGCTGCTTTGTGGCAAAGCATGTTAAGCTGTTGTCTGCAGCCCCAGCATCCCATATGGGCTCTGGTTTGAATCCTGGCTGCTCCACTTCTGATCCTACTCCCTGCTAAAGCACTTGGGAGAACAGCAGAAGAAAGCCCAAGTGCTTGGGCTCCTGTACCCATATGGGAGCCATTTTGGCAGTGAACCAGTGTATGGAAGATTCTCTCTCTCTCTTTCTCTCTCTCTCTCATTCTTTCAAATAAGAAAATATATAAGAATATTAAAATTTTTTTTCTTTTTTAAATATTTATTTATTTATTTGAAAGTCAAAGTTACATAGAGAGGCTCCATCCTCTGGTTCACTCCCTAATTGGCAGCAATGGCTGGAGCTGCACCAATCGGGCATCAGGAGCCGGGAGCTTCTTCTGGGTCTTCCGCACAGGTGCAGGGCCCAAGGGGTTATTTTATCCTTTACTGCTTTCCCAGGCCATAGCAGAGAGCTGGATTGGAAGTGGAGCAGCCAGGTATCAAACTGCTGCCCATATGGGATGCTGGCACTGCAGGCAGAAGCTTTACCCACTGTGCCACAGTGCTGGCCCCACAGGTCATTTTTTAAAATATTTATTTGAAAGGCAGAGTATTAGAGAGAAAGGGAGAAGACAGAGAGCAGGATTGTTCTTCCGCTTAACTCCCCAAATGGGCCCAATAGCCAGGCTGAGGCCAGGAGCCAGGAACTCCATCCTGGTCTCCCAAATGGGCCCTCTGCTGCTGATTTTCTAGGCACATTAGCACAGAGCAGGATTGGAAATGGAGCAGCCAGGATTCCAATAATTTGAATGGCATTCTAGTATGGGATATCAGTGTTGCAAGCAGTCCAATCTGCTGTGGCACAATCCTGACTCATGCATAGGTCTTTTTACTGTGATTTATATTACATTGAGGACAGCTGTTGTGGAATAATCGAATTTCATCCTAAATGTTTTCTTCTGTTTGTGTTGTATGTATGTTTCAGATCCTGAGAAAGAATGTGTTATTGTTTGGGAGAAGAAACCAACAGTTGAAGAGAAAGCAAAAGCAGATACCTTAAAGCTTCCACCCACATTTTTTTGTGGAGTTTGCAGTGATACTGATGAGGACAATGGAAATGGGGAAGACTTTCAGTCAGAGCTTCAGAAAGTTCAGGAAGCTCAAGTAAGAAAGGCTTCCGTTGTTTAATTTTGGTTACCTTGCCTTTGTTGGTTCAGTAAATTCAGAACTCCAACGTGACAATAGGGATTCAGTTACTTTTACCTCACAAAGTCTACATGAACAGGAAGCTATAGTCAGGAGCCAGAGCTGGTTATTAAAACCCAGATACTCCTTTGTGGGACACAGGCTAAATACTTGCCTCTAATTTTCTTTTTCATTAGGTGTGTCCATGCTGTTTTTCATTACTTTGTTTTTGTCTTCTTACCACCTCTTCTGAATTATTTGAAAATTTTTCAGATTTCAGAATTTATTATATTTTTGACTGTTTCTTAGTTTTTTAATGTTTGCTTTAGAGACACATGTACCAAACAGAAACTGTTTAGAATTGTGTTCCTCTCAATTCAAATTAAAATATAGTTGCATTTGAATTATAGGTTTTTGGCCGGCGCTGCAGCTCACTATGCTAATCCTCTGCCTTACGGCGCCGGCACACTGGGTTCTAGTCCCGGTCAGGGCGCCGGATTCTGTCCCGGTTGCCCCTCTTCCAGGCCAGCTCTCTGCTGTGGCCAGGGAGTGCAGTGGAGGATGGCCCAAGTACTTGGGCCCTGCACCCCATGGGAGACCAGGAGAAGTACCTGGCTCCTGCCGTCGGATCAGCGTGGTGCGCCAGCCGCAGCGCGCCAGCTGCAGCGGCCATTGGAGGGTGAACCAAAGGCAAAGGAAGACCTTTCTCTCTGTCTCTCTCTCACTGTCCACTCTGCCTGTCAAAAAAAAAAAAAAAAAAAAAAAAAAACTATAGGTTTTTAACACTCCATGATGATGATGGTAGTTGTCATATATTGCAGTTACGTACAACAAAAATTTGGTCAGTTGCATTTTGCTCTCGGTAGCCTTTTTTTATATGTGTATAAAGATTTATTTATTTGAAAGGCAGAGTGATAGAGAATGAGAGAAAGAGAACTTTCTGTCTGCTGGCTCATTCTCCAAATGGCCCAGTGTCTGAGTCTGAGCCAGGATGAAGCCAGGAGCCAGTCACTAAATCCTGCCCTCCTGTATAGGTGGCAGGGGCCCAAGCATTTGGGCCATTGTCTGCTGATTTCCCAAGTACATTAGCAAGGAGTTGCTTCAGAAGTAGAGCAGTTGGGACTTGAACCTGGTGCTCTGATACAGGTACAGGATTCCAGTGGCACCACAACAGTGGCCCTCAATACTCATATATTCTTCTGAACCTGAAAGCTAAGGACAGTTTTATTCACCTGGGTCCTTGCCATTGTTGTTATTAGTTCATTCCAAGCATTCTAAGACTTCACGTATGCTCTCTTTTCACTTCGTATATACAGAACTTCCATGAGCATTTTCTTTAAAGTGGGTTTACTAATGGGACTTATTCTTAGTTTTCCTTTGGGTAAAAATGTCTATTTTTCTTTCAGTTCTAAAATATTATTTTGGTGAGATAAGGTACAAGATTGACAGTTTTCTTTCAGCACTTTAAAAATGTTTCAGTATCTGATTATGTTAGTTCTTTGTGTATTCTGGATGTACATCCTCACCAAATAGTTTGCAAATGTTTTCTTCTATGTGGTTTCAGTTTTCATTCTCAGTAATGTCTTTCATGGAGCAGTAGTTTTTAATTTTAATGAATTCCAAGCCTTTTTATCCTTTGATGAATCATACTTTGATATTAGATTTAAAACATCATCACTTAACCATACATTGCCTGTATTTTTCACCTTTGTTATATTCTAGAAAGTCTGTAGTTTTTACATTTCTTTGGTACATTTTGAATTCATTTTTTGTAAGATTGAGATTTATTTTTTACTTTGTGAATGTTCAGTTCCAGCGCCATTTGTAGAAAGACTAGTTGAATTGCCCTTGCTCCTTGTCAGTGATCATCTGACTGTATTTATGTGGCTTCTGTTCTGTTCCACCATCTGCTTGCCTGTTCTTCCATCGGTACCACAGCATCTCAGTTAACAGAGCTTTGCAGTGTGTCTTGTGGTTGGATAGTGTCAGTCCTCTGACTTTATTCTTTAGTATTGTGCTGTCCATTCTGTGTCATTTGTCTTTATATATAAACTTTCAGATTAGTTTGTCTATCTACAAAACAACTTCTGAGATTTTGAATTTTTGATTCTGATTTAGAATTGTGTTGAGTCTGCAGGTAAATTGAGGAGAACTGACTTTTTTTTTTTAAGGTTTATTTATTTGTAAGGCAGAGTTACAGAGAGGTTGGGAGGGACAGAGATCATTCATTTGTTAGTTCCCACCCAAATGGCTGCAACAGCTAGAACTGGGTCAGGTCAGAGCCAGGAGCTTCATTGAGGTCTCCCGCCTGAGTGCAGGGCCCCAAGTACTTGAGTCATCTTCCACTGCTTTCTTAGGCACGTTAACAAGGAACTGGATCAGAAGTGAAGCAGCAAGGACTTACACTGGTGCCCATATGTGATGCTGGCCTCACAGCCGGTGGCTTGATGCACTGCACAACAACGCTGGCCCAGAGCTAACATCTTAATATTGAATGTGGAACATCTATTTCTATTTCCTTTAATTGCTTTCATCACAGTTTTATACTTGTCCTCGTGTAGATGAATGTATTTTCATATTTTGTTAAATTTATACTGTCATGGGTTTTTTTGTTTTTAATGTAAATGGGACTGTGTCTTAAATTTCAAATTCTAGTTGCCACCAGTATTTAAGAAGGCAGTTGACTATTTGAAAGGCAAAGAGAGAAAGACTCCATCTGCTGGTTCATCCCCCAAATGGCCATTGCATACCAGGGCTAGATCAGGCCAAAGCCAAGAAGCAGCCATGTAAGTGACAGGGACCCAAGGACTTGAGCCATCAATCCTCTGCTACTTCACAGGCACATTTGTCAGTGGTCTGGATGGGAAGGTCGGCACCCCAGTATGGGGTGCAGGCTTTCTAAGTGGCTGCTTAGACCTGGTGCTGTTCCACTTCTGACCCAGCTCTCTGCTATGCCTGGGAAAGCGGTAGAAGATGGCCCAAGTGCTTGGGCCCCTGCATCCTTGTGGGAGACCCAGAAGAAGCTCAAGACTTCGGATCAGCTCAGCTCTGACTGTTGTGGTCATTTGGGGAGTGAACCAGCAGGATGGAAGACCTCTCTCTTTGTCTCTACCTCTCTAACTCTGTCTTTCAAATAAATAAAATAAATCTTTTTAAAAGAAAAATCTAGAATTTTTTTCCAGCTAATATTTCTCTTAATGGCTTAAAGCTTAATTTCATCGTGGTTTGAGAGTGTATATTGTGTGATTTCTGTTCTTTCAAATTGTTTGATGTGTTATATATCTTAGAATAGGTTTTTTGTCTTGGTAAATGTTTTATGTGAGTTTATTAACAATGTTCTGTTAGCTAGATGTCATCCTTAAAATCTATTTCTGTTAATGTATCTTTCATTTGTAAAATTCCCATTTGGTTCTTATATATATATAACTGTTCATTTGCTGAGAATTTCTGTCTTCATTTGTTTTAAGAGTATTTTTCATTACTTCTTGTGCCATTGTTTTAATGGCTTTTTTTTTTTTTTTTTAAGATTTTATTTTATTTGAGAGGCAGTTACAGAGAAAGAGGGACATACAGAAAGGTGTGTCATCTGCTCATATGGGATGCCAGCATTGCAGGCAGCAACTTAATCCACTATGCCGCAACACTAGCTCTTTGAATGACTTCTTTAAAATATTTTTTGCAGTTCCAGAACATGGACATTGAATGACTGCTTCTTCCTCTGGCCAAAAGGAGCTGGCTTTTCTTGAGACTTTTATGTTTGTGCCATTGGCAGTCTCAGCAGTTTGTGCTGCTCTAGCACCCAGGCTGGAATATAGGAGAGGCATAAAACCTCCACATGGATCTCACTACCAGATTATCCTTCTGCTCCTGTGTTACTTAACCCATCTGCTTTCATCCACCTTTCAGAGGCTTTGTACATTTTTTAGTCTACATGTTTAGTTCTAGGTTTTGGGAGACATAAATTGAAGTATCCTTTTTCTGTTTTGTCCAGAAGTCCAAGTCTTCAGTTCTTTTGAAATAGCTTGTAGGGGGGCTGGCGCTGTGGCATTGTGAGTGAAGCAGCCGCTTGCAGTGCCAGAATCCCACATGGGCTTTGGTTTTTGTCCCGGCTGTTCCACTTCTGATCCAGCTCTCTGCTATGGTCTGGGAAAGCAGTAAAAGATTGCCCAAGACTTTGGGCCCTGCACCCACCTGGGAGACTTGGAATAAGCTCCTGGCTTCAGATCGGCGTAGCTCTGGCCGTTGCAGCCATCTAGGGAGTGAACCAGCAGATGCAAGACCTCTCTATCTCTCTGCCTCTCCTTTTCTCTCTGTGTAAATCTGACTTTCAATAAATAAATAATTAAAAAAAAAGAAATAGCTTGTAGGGTGATTTTTGTAAAACAGTATTTAATGGCTTAGTATTTTATTACTTCCTCTTTGCAGAAATCCCAGAGTGAGGAAATCGCCAGCACAGCAGATGGTGTATGTACAGGTGGGACTGAAGTGACTGCTCCGTCGTTAGGGAAATCTGAAGAACCTGATTCTGTTGCCAAATGTATTGGTTCACCACCTGTTTCCTGTGGAGCTGCAGACAAGCCTGTGGATTTGTCTACTAGAAAGGAAATTGAGCCAGGTTCTACAAGCCAAGGTAAAACCGAATATATGTTTAAGTCATTACATAAAGGAGAATACCTGTGTGTTTGGAAGAATAGACTTGAAGGTACATCCTATAAACTTCCTTTAAAGCGAGTTTGAGGTATATAAGGGACGTCAGATTTAATAGTGTCAGAACAGTCGTACTTCTCCACCAGCAAGGAAAGTGAGCAAGCATTTTTATGATTAGAATTGTGGTTATTAGGAAATACAAAGCACTGGGACTCTAGCCTGTCTGCCTGAGTGTTAAAAAAAAAAAAAAAAGGCAATGTAGTTTGTGTACATGGTAATTTCCTTTTATGATATTTTAATTCAGCTTGGAGTAGGTTATCACTTAGGTATCTGATCCTGAGAGTATTTTAATTAACGGAAGTAGTTGTAGAAATATTACAATAATGGTTTAAAATTTGTGTGATAGTACTTAAACATCTGTTTTTCTCTGTTAACCTCAAAACTTAAAAAATTATCTAATAGTAATAATAGTTGTATTCTTTCTCCCTTATTTTTCCATTTCAGTGGTTGTTGGTAGAGCGGTGTCTCTAAATTATAGCACTTTTTGTACATGTACATTATCTACGTTACCTAATCTCTTTTTCAGAAGTGTTCCTAAATAAGTCACAAAAACATTTATAGGCATTTTAGGATCTTGATACACTAGAAGAGAAAGACCAGGACCTCATTTTCAGAGATTGTTTTGCTATACATTGGCAGCATTAAGACAGGGCTTTAGTAGTAGTATTTTTTTTTTTTTTTTTTAAAGATTTATTTATTTGAAAGGCAGAGGCAGACAGAGGTCTTCCATCCGCTGGTTCATTCCCCAGATGGCCACAATGGCCAAAGCTGTACTGATCCGAAGCCAGGGGCCAGAAGCTTTTTCTAGGTCTCCCACATGGATGCAGGGGCCCAAGGACTTGGGCCATCTTTTACTGCTATCCCAGGCCATAGCAGAGAGCTGGATAGGAAGTGGAGCAGCCAGGACTTGAATCGGCGTCCATATATGTGGCCAGCATTGCAGGTGGCGGCTTTACCTGCTATGCCACAGTGCCGGCCCCTCTGGTAGTATTTTTTATGACTAAGTTTAAATGATAGTGAACACAGTAAGGCTTGCCTTTGATCGAATGCTTGTTTTGGGGTACAGAAGATTCTACAAAGGTGAAACTCCATAGTTCTATAAGTTGCTTAATGCTGATTTGTATTTCTTTATAGAAGATGATTTTTGTCATACTTTTGGTATAGTGTTGTAATATTCATTGGGAATAACATTTGTAAACATAATAAAGCTGACTGCTCAGAATTTGATGCTTTTACCAGATTATACTTGCTAATCCCCCTCACCCTGTAATATGGGAGGTTCTCGTATTCTGTCCAAGTCCTGGACAGAGCTTTGCTTTTTTGTGTATGTCAAGTGAAATAATCAATTGTTCTTTTCCTTTTGCCAGTGGAAAGCAAAACAGTTTCATTTGGATTTGGAAGTAGCACAGGGCTTTCATTTGCAGATTTGGCTTCCAGTAATTCTGGGGATTTTGCTTTTGGTTCTAAAGGTAAGATCAGAAGGAGAGATTTTAATCATCATGTTATATAATCAGTCAAGCACAACTGAAATAACTACTCTTTTGTTATAATGTAGTAATAACTAAAGTCAGAAGTTTCCTTACCTCTCTCTGGCTTAGTTGGTATAGGGTTTTAATATGAAGGTTGCCTACATTTTATTATTTTTGATGTTTATGAATGTAAGACATTTTTCCTTAATTTAGTAAAAGTCCTGCTGATGGTTTTCCCCATTCTGAAAAACAATCATTTTTCAGTTTTGGAATAATTCCAACTTTGGTAACACTGCTCTTAGCAATATATACTTTTTGGTAATATTGTTGTCTTAATTATACATACTTTTAGGCTGCTTTATTATTTTATAAAAACTTTATTTTTAAATTGATTTCGATTTTACTTGCTAGAAATATTTGAAACTACAAATCCCCCGCAATTGGTTTTTAAAAGACCTATTTATTTATTTGAAAGACAGATCAACAGAAAGTCAAAGGGAGGGAGAGACAGACACCTTCCATCTGCTGGTTCACTCCCCAAATGGCTGCAATAGCTGGGGCTGGACCAGGCCAAACCCAGGAGTCAAAAAGTACATTCTGGTCTTGCACTTGTGTGGCAGGATCCCCAATATTTGGATTGTCATCTGTTTTATTTTGTTCCTTTGTTTTCAGTTTGGTCTGAAAGTCCCATTCATACAGGATTATTGGTCATTCTGTATCTGTTGTACAACATTTCGTGAAAAATAATCTAAGAATAATAAGAATGGGTTTGACCCTGCTTTGACAAAGATTGCTGTTTTATTCATACTTTGTTTCATTTACATGCACACACAATAGAAGCCTAGATAGACAACTCTTACCTAGAACTTTTGTCTCAAAATTGTTACTGACTATTCAGTAACTAATCTTCTGTACTTATCTTTGTGAATTTTATCTCCTGGTTCTATTAGATAAGTGCTTTTTAGCTCTTAGTTTTATAATTGAATTACTTGGGAGTTTTTAAGAAAGAACTGCATGGCAGTTATATTGGTATCTTATGCATGGGTCTCAGACATTGGTATTTTACAAATGTTCCTGACATGATCTTGATGTGCACCCAGGATATGGAACCACTACTTTGGAAGAATTTAGAAATTTTCTGTCACATGTCTTCCTAGGTTTTCAAGTTTCTGTGTGAGAGCTGCGCACCTGTGTCTTGCACATCAGTGATTGCTGTTCTCAGAAAGCCCCTACACAACCTGCGGTTGTGCTTTTCTTGAACATATCTCTCCTTTGCCATTTCCTTCTGATATGTTCTTCAGAATTACTCCCCTTCCCTTAAATCTGTATTAGAAAGAGTGGCTATTTTATTCATTGCCTTTCTTCAGGTTGCAGAGTTACCTTTTATGTGGTCTCTGAAATTTTTGCCTTAGTGGTTTTGTAGCAGGAGGTATAGGGCAACAATTTATCAGTAGATAACTAAAGGTGTTTTACAGGGGTGGGTGGAGAACCTTTTATCTGACAAAGGCCATTTGTAAAGAGTATTGGAGCTCTTTACAACTTACAAATTATCTTGCTGTAGGTTTACTGAATTTCAAGTCCCTCCTGCAGGTGCCTTGGCAGGGCCACATGACCATGATTTTGCAGGCTGGCCTGGGAGGTTTCCCAACTCCTAAAAGATAATGGGTAATGTTAGGTTGAGTCATCTCGATTGAGGTGGATAGTAGGGAAGTTTCTGGTTTGCACCTTCTGTTTTGCGGGGGAGGTAACATCTTGGTTCCCCCACATGGAAGTAGGGAGTCTTTTCAGTACCTGTAGCTGTCTGGTACTCTTGAAGGTAATTGGAGTTAGTGAATTCTAAGGCCCAACACCAAGTACTTGAAGAAAAAGTTGAGGTACAGAAGTTATTACTACATATATAGACTATTGTGGCTAGTTTAGAAGTAACAGGTCGGCCTCTTTGAGGACATATTTTTAGGTTTAAAAATTGCATTTCTCATGTGATGAAAGGTTTTAAGAAATAACATGCCTAGATAAATTTTTTTTATTTTAATTTTATTTATTTATTTTTTTGACAGGCAGAGTGGACAGTGAGAGAGACAGAGAGAGAGAAAGGTCTTCCTTTGCCGTTGGTTCACCCTCCAATGGCCGCCGCGGCCAGCGTGCTGCGGCCGCCGCACTGCACTGATCCAATGGCAAGAGCCAGGTGCTTCTCCTGGTCTCCCATGGAGTGCAGGGCCCAAGCACTTGGGCCATCCTCCACTGCACTCCCTGGCCACAGCAGAGAGCTGGCCCGGAAGAGGGGCAACCGGGACAGAATCCGGCGCCCCGACCGGGACTAGAACCTGGTGTGCCGGCGCCGCAGGAGGATTAGCCTAGTGAGCTGCAGCGCTGGCCTAGATGAGTTTTAAGAAATTAGTTTATTACTAGAATTTTTTAAAAATATTTATTGGAAAGGCAGAGTGACAGAGCGAGAGGAAGAGACAGAGAAAGAGATCTTCTATCTGTTGGTTCACTCTCCAAATGGCTGCTCTGGTCATGGGTGTGCCTGGCCAAAGCCAGAAGGCAGGAATTGCATCTGGGTCTCTCATGTTGGGGTGGCAGGGGCCCAAGTACTTGGGCCATCTTCTGCTGCTTTCCCAGGCACTTTCGCAAGGAGCTGGATTTGAAATGGAGCAGAGCAGCCCAGACTCAAACCAGTGCTATGATACAGTTTGCCAGCATTGCAGGTGTTGACTTAACCCTTTAGGGCCCCATTACTGGAAGTTTCAGTTTAGTAATGTGACGCTTACTGAAGGCAGAGAATCTTAGCTTATGTGTGTGTAAGGGTAAAACGGTCTAAATGTGTGGTGTTTTCACAGAATGACTTGAATTTGCCAAAATAACATAATTTGTAACACTTTAAGTATATATCTCACCATTGGAAATTAGATGCATTGGTAATCTAAGTGTGATTTGGAAAAGTATTAAAGAAATAGACCATTGTTTAAGTAACTTAATTTATTCATCAGATAAAAATTTCCAGTGGGCAAATACTGGTGCAGCTGTATTTGGAGCACAGACAACCAATAAAGTTGGTGAAGATGAAGATGGTAGTGATGAAGAGGTAGTTCATAATGAAGATATCCACTTTGAACCAATAGTGTCATTACCAGAGGTAAACATTAAGGATTGGAATTTTTGCTAATTTTTTCATATACTGTTAGTGTATCATTTTTTTTTCATAACATGCTTCTGGAGACAAAAAATATCTAATCTCACACTTGACAACATCCTTTCAATAAAAAGTAACCTTGCTATAGATAAAGTCTAAAGTAGTTAACCATATAAGCTTCTTTAACTCAGTAGTTAGGGAGATTATAGAACCCATGAGAGCTTTTTGTGTGGATAACTAGGTTTTATTTTTCTTATGTTGTTGATCTTAGTTATGATTAAAGCTGACCTGAAGAGAGCAGTTTATGTGAAAAGTTCTCATGTTTTAATGTCTTTTGTTTTTTTTTTTTCCTTGAGAGATGGGTAACATTTGAACAGAAGCATAAGAAATTGTTAGTGAATCAAGACAAACACATTTGAAAGAAAGGAACTGTGTATTAGCATGTTAACAAGTCATAACTATTTTTTCTGATAGTTTGAAAATCTTTAGTTATAGAACAGTGGGTTTTAACCCGTATCACATTTATACTTGCAGAAATTTATTTTGTTGTTCCTAGTTGGAATTGACTCAATAAAATCGGCAAAACTGAACCCACAAAAGTAAATATAAATAACCTTTACATTTTTTGAACAAGATTATTGTTTTAGGAAAATTGTCCTCTTTTTTTTTTAGCCTGGATCAGTGGTTGATGTTTCTCTTCAGGAACAGGGACTTCTTGAAACTTTTTGTTTACAATATAGGAAGCAATTTTTAAAATGCAAATGAATACTGTTTAAAAGAAAACTATTTAATAATAAATTTGCTCCCTCCTGCTTCAACCAAATCAGATGAATTTGTTGTGCCTGGATATTTACCAGTGAGCACATTATGATGTTAACGTCATTACAAAGAAAATGTCTTAAAGAATTTGAATATTTGAAACTTGTTATATGCAACAGCTTATAGGTAATTGCTTCTGCTAATCCAGGTAGAAGTAAAATCTGGAGAAGAAGATGAAGAAGTTGTGTTTAAAGAGAGAGCCAAACTTTACAGATGGGATCGTGATGCCAGCCAGTGGAAGGAGCGTGGTGTAGGAGACATAAAGATCCTTTGGCATAGGATGAAGAACTATTATCGGATCCTAATGAGGAGAGACCAGGTCTTCAAAGTGTGTGCAAACCATGTTATTACCAAAACAATGGAATTAAAACCCTTAAATGTTTCAAATAATGCTTTAGTTTGGACTGCTTCAGATTATGCTGGTGAGTTTCTATTTGGGAATGCTACTTTTCATTTTTGGTCTTTCCTGAACCCATAACAAACATGTTATTCAGTTGGTAGTGATTATTTTAATCTTAAAGGTATTCTCCATTTTTATCCCAATAGATGGAGAAGCAAAAGTGGAACAGCTTGCAGTGAGATTTAAAACAAAAGAAATGGCTGATTGTTTTAAGAAAAAGTTTGAAGAATGTCAACAGAATTTATTGCAACTCCAGAAAGGGCATGTTTCACTGGCAGAATTGTCAAGAGAGACCAACCCTGTGGTGTTTTTTGACATTTGTGCCGATGATGAACCTTTAGGGCGTATAACCATGGAGTTATTTTCAAACATCGTTCCTCAGACTGCTGAGAACTTCAGAGCACTGTGTACTGGAGAGAAGGGCTTTGGTTTCAAGAACTCCATTTTTCACAGAGTAATTCCAGATTGTCTTTGCCAAGTAAGTATGATTGTCCATCAGAATTGAAATCTAGAGAAGAGTGTGTGCTGCATAAACTCAGGAAGTTGAGTGTTCCTTCCTGATCTTATGCTGTAGTGTGAAAATTTCTGTAGATTGCCCACACATTAATTGGTTTTATCACCCTAATTCCTAGCTCTGCCAAAAAGTTTCAACCTAAATGGGTCTGAATTTTCTGTTAACTGGGGTGTAAGAGGGTGGGGAAGTGATGGACGTTTTAATTTCTTAATTGTCTTTCAAAAATACATATTTCTTAGTTTTCAAAGAGCTTTTTTGGGGGAGGGAGTGCAAAGATTTATTTCCTTGTTTAAAAGACAAAGTGAGAGAGACCTTCCATCTGTTGGTTCACTCCCCAGATGCCCAGAACAGTAGAGTTGGTCAATGCATGGGTGTCAGGGCTCAGATACTTGGGCCATCTTCTGCTTTCCCAGGTGCTGTAGCAGGAAGCTGGTTTGGAAATAGAGCTGCCTGGACTTGAACCAGCACTCCAATATGGGGTGCTGGGATTACAGGTGGCAGTTTAACCTACTGAGTCACAATGCTGGCCCCTTAAGTTGCATTCTTCAGGAAGCTGGTTGTTTAGGACTTAGCCTGCAGTGATGAATTCTGTGTGTAATTCAGTGTTTGACTGAGAATTCCTAGTAATTAAATTTTTCTTTCAGGGGGGAGATATCACCAAACATGATGGAACAGGAGGAAAGTCTATATATGGAGATAAATTTGAAGATGAAAATTTTGATGTGAAACACACTGGTCCTGGCTTGCTGTCAATGGCCAATAGGGGCCCAAATACCAATAATTCTCAATTTTTTATAACACTGGGAAAAGCAGAACATTTGGACTTCAAGCATGTAGTATTTGGGTTTGTTAAGGATGGCATGGATACTGTGAAAAAGATTGAGTCATTTGGTTCTCCTAAAGGGTCTGTTAGTCGAAGAATTAGCATCACAGAATGTGGACAGATATAAAATCATTGGGTTTTTTGTAGTAAATTTTATCTGTATAAGCAGTTGAATCAAAGCTTAGCTGTTACAATATGGTAATTATGTTCAGCTTTTGAAAATGGACGTTTCCAATGTATAAATGTACAATTGCAGCTCATAGCTGTTGTCACTTTTTAATGTGTTATAATTGACCTTGCATGGTGTGAAATAAAAGTTTAAACACTGGTGTATTTCAGGTGTACTTGTGTTTATGTACTCCTGATATATCTGTAATAAAATGGAATAGTAATAATAATCTTGTTAAAAGCAATATACCTTCACAGACTATTGAAGGGATTAAATATATGCAATTTAATTTTAATTCCTTTAAATATATGTGGACTTCCAGCATGGAAATACTTAACATTTGAGTAAGGGACCACAACTTGGATAATTTTATTTTGGATCTGAAATATATTTGGTAACCTTAACTGTTGGTGTGCTCATTTATGCATAGAGACTCATTTATGAATGGGTAGTGCCACAGAAGGTAGAGTTAACCAAAGTGCTCTTCTGTAATCTTACACCTCTTGTATAGTTTACAAATGAACTTTTAAGTAGAGTACCTTCTTTGCCTAAAATATATAGCTTCTGTGCCCTTTCAAAGGTGTTAAATTAATTTTTTACATTTTAAGCAAATTGACTATTTCCTTTTTTAAAAAAAGAAAACAAACTTTTTTGTCATCTGTCTCTACTACCTCAGCAATTTCAACTTGGTCCTGATGATAGAAATTGAATTTTTCCTTGCAGTTATTGTGATAAAGTATGAATATTTTTAAAGGTCTATACCATGTTCTTTGGTTAAAGATTTGCTTTATACTAGATTGTTGCAGTATCTTTTTCTGGTGACTTTTGTAGCAGAAATAAAGTGACAATTGACAACAGTCATGATATTTAAAAAGTTCATTACTTGTGCATCTAGTTGTCTGTTCATTCTAGTATTAGACTGAAGTACAGAGGGCAATTAAAGGTCAGTACTGTTAACTCAAGCTGCCGCGTAATTTCCAGAGCCCCCGAAGGAATACTTCCCAAGTTTGATACACTGAAATGCAGTTAAAAGTGGCTTGTGTCACAAGTTAGGCAAACTGCTTTAAAACATGTTCTTACTGGCAGACTTCACGTAGAACCACAAAGAACCCAGTCAGAGCAGAAAATTGTGTGTATTGTGATCATGAGTATTGACCGTCTTCCACCCTGTGTGCCTCTCAGTGAGACAGTTCCTTGTTCCCTGTGTGGTGACGTGGAAATGGGGCGTCATGCAGAGAATGCCATGCAGCCGATGGCAGGGATGCCACGCGTGGTGTGTGTGAATAATGAATGATTGAATACCAGCACTAAATCAACTTGAAGCTGCCAGAAGTAACCCAGCCGCAACAGTTCAGGTGAACTACCTGAACCTTGAAGGGAACCGTGAACTGCATACGTGCACATTTAATACTTAGAGTCGGCTTCTTTGCAAACCTATGTAATATAAATTGATTAAAAGTGAGTTCTAACTTTTCTGCTGAGGCAGTTGATGCAATAGTCATGCTTTTAGGGTAAACTGTAAGTAAATGCAAGTGCTTTTTAGACTTTTTACACTTTGGTGGTGTCCTAAATTAGGCATTAAAGTTACAGACTTAAAGCTTTAAAAAAGTTGATAAAATAACATATAAATTAACCTTTCCAGTATTAGTATTCCAAAGCTGCTAAAAGTGGCTAGAAGCGTTTGTAAGGAAGTCTTCTGTGTCACATTTCAGGAAAGGACTTTGATTCCCGGTTACTTAACTGCTGAAGTGGTACACTAAACACATGATAGATATTCTTAAGGCTAGATTGATTTTTATATTGTCTCATTAAGGCCTGCTTAAAGATAGAATAAAATGTTTATTTGTACATTTTAAGTAATGCTTTGTTCGAATATTGGCTTAAATTTAGATCACTAGTTTGCTAAAATACTGACCTTAAGAAATTTGAGTATTTGAGGAACTTTGGAAATAACTGAAAATGTAGGAGTTGTTAGTCCCGACATGCAGTTGGCAATCATAATTTAGAAAAGGATTACTCTCCTGTAATTGCATGAAATGAGAAACTGGGTAGTTGTGCAGTTGCTCCCATTTAGTATGTTTTTAGGTTATACACTACGCCAATAAATACTGAGCACCTACTTGTTGCTAGGAGCTGTTAGGGGAACTAAGCAAACCTTTTTTTTTTTTTTAGTTTGAATTTATTTGAAACCAGGAGCTCAAAACAAAACTTACCCTAGGTCTCCCATGCTACCCAAGTACTTTCTCTGCTAGTGTGCATTAAGAGCAAACGGGCGCTCTCAAGCTTTCGGGTGAGAGCTGAGGCGGGATGGGGCGCCGCACCTGCTGGGCGAATGAGAGGGCCCCTGACCTCCAGCTGCCCCGCGGTGCCCCTGCGGAGTCGCGGGCTGCTCGGCCCGGGAGCGCGCTCGAGGGCGCAGCCCCGCCCCCGGCTGCCAGCCCCGCCCTCAGCGCCCGGCCGCCGTGCGGCTGGGGGCGGGGCCTTGCGTCACGGCGTGCTCCGGCGCGAGGCCCGGCGCGCCGCGCGGCCGCGGGACGCCGTTCCCGAGGAGACCGTGGGCGCCGCGGCGCGCCATGGAGCCGCGGGTGGTCAAGCCGCCGGGGCAGGACCTGGTGGTGGAGCGCCTCAAGAGCCGCTACGGGCTCGGAGGCAGCTGTCCCGGCCAGGTGAGCCGGGCGCCCCGGCCCGCGCGTGGACCGCTGTGTGGGCTGCGGGCTCGGTCGGGGTGGCTGTCGGGGTGCAGCGTGGTCCGGCGCCCACGGGGGAGCTTCCAGCCGGGAGTGCCTTCTCCCCGAACCTCGCGTCGTGCATCGTGTAACATCGGCGAATGATGTGCGGAAAGCAGGTCCCGGGTTAAGGAGCCTCTTGCTGAGAAGCCTGAGGCAGCCGCGGGAACGCGGGGCGAGCGCGGAGCCCCCGGCGTGCAGCTGCGGGCGGGGCGCCGGCTTCCGGCCGCTCCTGAGGCGGGCGGCGTTGTCGTCCGTGACCGCGCGAACTTGGCCGTCGTGCCGGCCGGTGTGCCTGTTTGGGGCTAATCTGACTGGTGTTGGGTGACGCGGGCAGTTGGGTTGCGCCTCGGCAGGAGTGCGCGGCAGTGAAGAGGTACTTGACGTCATTTTGTCTGTCAGGGACGCGAACTTTGGTCACCTGCCGCTAGTGGCTGGCGTCCCCCAGATTTCTCCGTTCTCAGCTTCGACATCGATGCCTGCTTTGTGGGGACATACTTTGAGATAGTGAATAGATTCTTAGTCTACAAATCACATATGTTGTTCTTTTTTTTAGTTTGATTTTTCAAATTTTGATCAGGCGAGATGTCAGAGAAGATCTCTAACCTCCCCAGGTAAGCCAATAGACTATTTTGTATATTTGAAGGTTTTAACCAATTTAATTTGAGAATTTGAGAGAGGTGTTTTTTTAATATTTAGATTTATGGCTAATGCTAGCTATCTTGTGATACTAAACTTTATTCAGTCTGTTAAGGAACTAATCATAATATGTTTTAGGGGGAATTGTGTAAGATGTCTTTACAAGTCAAATTGAATGAATTATATTGGTATTTTCAGTTATAGTATTCCTTTGAATTTACTAGAAGTTAAACCATGTTAGATAACTGCTGTTTTTTTAGGCATAAGCTTTTCAGACAGTAGTTATTACTCTAGAGGAAGAATTTAGCAAACAAATGTAATTGAAAAAAATTGTTACACTGTGGAATTGAGTGGGTTCTATGCTATGTGGAATTCTGTAACATGTAATTAGCTTTGTTATATTCATTAACCATTGTAGTAGAAATAGTATCTTTAATAGTTCATTAAGTTGTTGATTAATGATTCTCATTTTTTTCCAAACTTATTTCATGTATGAATCCTTGTGAAATGTAAATTATTTATTGATGTTGTTTTGCTTGTACTTATAAATCTTTTTTTTAGGATTATTTATTTGAAAGAGTTACAGAAACTTTTTGAAGTATCATTGTATAAGTTAACAGTTTATTAAACAAATGTTCAAGGATCAAAGAGGAACACGATTAATTGTTTTGTTTTTGTTTTTGTTTTTGTTTTGATAAACAGAGTGAGAGGGAGAGACAGAGAAAGAGATCTTCCATCTGTTGGTTGACCCCTCAAATGGCCTCAACTGCTGGGACTGAGCTGGGCTGAAGCCAGGGGCCTGGAACTCCATCCTGGCTCCCCCAGGGATAACAGGGGTTCAGATATTTGGGCCCTCTTCTTTTGCTTCCCCAGGGAGCTGGATCAGAGTAGGTGCAGCTGGAGCTCAAACCAGCACTTCTATATGGGGTGCTGGAGTGGCAGGCAGTGGCTGCACGTGTGCCGCAACACCAGCTCCTGGGTTCTGATTTCTAAGTAACGCATCTCCTAGCTGTGTTACCTAGAAAAAGTCACATAAATTCTTTGGTCCTTAGGTTCTTAACCTGTAGAATAGGGTTTAAGGTACTTATTCTGCTTGTTTCACATGGTTGTTGCTAGGATCAAATAATGTAATGGATGGAAAAGCATTTTTTTAATCAGAAAAGTGTTGTATAAATATAAGATTTAATGGCTGTTTTCTCTAAGTTTACATCCGAGAGACATGCAGACAGGTAATTATTTGCTAATTTTGCTATCTTTAGGAACTTGAAGTGAGATAATTAGTGTCTAATCCCAGTATGTAAACTTTTTTGCTTTTTTTTGTTGATAGATGATTTGGACGTCTTCTCATCTGGAGATAAAATTGGTTCATCATTAAGATATTCGGATGATAGAAAGCATTTTTGCAGTTCCTTCAAGCACTTGAGTGTGAATTGGTAAAGTACTGTGAAACTTCACTGTTGTATCCCCTCAGTATCTCACAGAACTGGGAAAGAAGTTTATATGTTGGCTTTGCTCTGAGTGGATGGACTGCTGTAAGCAGTCTGGAACTCTCCAAAGAGTTGAAGAGACTCAGTTAATTTTTATTTGAGAATACCTGTGAAGAAGGCAAAGACTTATCAGTATGTTTAGTGACATAATAGAAATTAAATTATTCGTATAATGTAAAAGATGAAAAAGTATTTTATGATTAGTCATCCAGGGCTAAAATGAAGACTTTGCTCCCTTTCTTTAAAAAAGTAAAAACAACAAAAAAACCTGCAATACGTTTGTTAGGCAGTGATACTTAGCTTGGTATCTGTTGTGTGCCTGGTGGTGTAGTGAGCGCTGTACTTTAGATAGCTGAACGAGATGATAGGAGGTGATAATTACAAAATCGGGGTGTTAAAGTACTGAGCCAAAAAGGGTTGCAGTTCTGAAGAGGAGGTCATATTTATTATAGGTAAAAGTAGAAGTGAAAAGATAGAAGTTAAGGTGAAATCAATTTGAAAATTTTTATTTATTTTAAATTTATATTTATTTTATTTAAATTTAAATTTATTTATTTATTTTATGTGGCCGGTGCCGCAGCTCACTAGGCTAATCCTCCACCTGCGGTGCCGGCACACCGGGTTCTAGTCCCGATTGGGGCGCCGGATTCTGTCCCGGTTGCCCCTCTTCCAGGCCAGCTCTTTGCTGTGGCCCGGGAAGGCAGTGGAGGATGGCCCAAGTGCTTGGTCCCTGCACCCACGTGGGAGACCAGGAGAAGCACCTGGCTCCTGCCTTTGGATCAGCGCGGTGCGCCGGCCACGGCCGCCATTGGAGGGTGAACCAACGGCAAAGGAAGACCTTTCTCTCTGTCTCTCTCTCTCACTGTCCACTCTGCCTGTCAAAAAATAAAAATAAATAAATAAATAAATAAATAAAAGAAAAAAAAAAGAAAGAGATCTTGTTCCTGCTGGTTTACTCCCGTAATTGCTAGCAAGAACCAGGGCTGTGCCAGGAGTGCGGAACTCAATCAGGATCTCCCACATGGCTTGAGTGCTTGAGCTATATCACATTATGGTGCGCATTAGCAGGAAGCTGGAATAGGAAGCAGAGCTGGGACTTGAACTTAGGCATCTGGGCACCCAAGTGGCATCTTCACTGCTGCACCAAACCCCTGCCCAGGCGAGGTGCATGTTTAATTGAGTGAATTTGTGACCAGAGGAAATAAAGTCAAAAGGTTGACTTGCAGACATCTCAAAATTTTCTAAGGATTTATGCATTTACAAAATCAAATATTGATAGTTGTAGAGCAATAAGACAATTGTAGCTACCTGTCTGCATGTGTTAATATAACTGATATATGGGAGCTTGAATTTTTTAATCAGTTGCCTCTTTGTCTGCTTAAATGAGTTAATCTTTGTAAAGCACTTTGAACAGTGCTGAACATAAACTAAAGCACTCAATTGTTAACTGTTACAATTACTGTAAGAACTATTTCATTTGATACAAAACAATGTAATCTAGCCTCAAGATTTTGACTTGAGCTAGATTTAATGTAGGGTAAGGAAAGTAAAAATTGCGGCTTTAAGGTAATAGTTACAGATTCATGGATATTGTTTCTTATATTTTGCTGATAGTTCTGTCATTTGCTTTTTAAATGATCTGGCTATAATTCCATATGTGAAGGTTTTTATAACATCGGGCAGTGTTTCACAATCCCTGGTGTGGTGTCCAGCACAGTGGCCACAGGAAACGTGTAACCATGGAGTGTTTGGAATGTGGTTGGTGTGAATTGCTGTGTGCTGTGTGAACTAACACACTGGACTTCAGGGTTAGCATGGGATGGGTGTTTATCCCTGTGTATCCCACCTCCGAGTGTCTACGTTTGATTTCCAGCTCTGGCTCTTGATTCCAGCTCCCTGCTAGTGTGGACCTTAGGAGGCAGGGGTGATGGCTTAAGTGCTTGAGTTCCTGCCACCTACGTGAGAGAACTGGATTGCCTGTCTTCAACTGTCTCTCTCAAAATAAAGAAATTAATTTAATTAACCAGCAGTTGATTAATCTTGCAGCAGGTTAAACTGCTGCTTTGGGACACCTGTATCCCATATCAGAGTTCCTGGGATCCAGCGTCCTGTTGATGTGCCTGGAAGGTACTTGGGTTCTTGCCATCCACACGGCAGACCAGGCTGGAATTCCTGGTTCCTCCTTTTGGCCTGGCCCAGCCCCTTTGGGGAGTGCAGGCATTTGGGGAGTGGACCAGCAAATGGAGAATCTTTATCTTTGTCTCCCTTTCTCTCTGTTACTCTGCCTTTCAAATTAATAAATTTTTAAACAGACTCAGTGTGGAAAAAAGAATGTAAAATATGGTCATAATTTATAGTGATTTATGTTGAAATGATAATATACTGGTTTAAGTATATTGTTAACGTTTTAACTCTGTATTTTTACTGTGCTACTGGAAAATTTTAAATTATTGTAGTATATTCCTTTTGAACAGTGCTGCTCTAGAAATTACAACTCTGAAGTAATCTTTTTGGAGAAAACACCTTGGATTCTAGTTCTTCACTTTTATTACTTTAAATAAAATCTGTTTGAAAGGCAGAGACAGAGAGCTGCCGTCCTCTGGTTCACTCTCCAAAAGCCCACGATGCCCAGAACAGAAACTAGAAGCTTGGCATACAGTCCAGGTCTCCCACAACCATGACTGGAGCCCAGTTATGGAAGCCATCACGCCTTCCCCCGAGGGTCTGCATTGGCAGGAAGCTGGAGTCGGGAGCTGCAGCCAGCATCAAACCTAGGTCCTCCTGTATGATACATGGGCGCCTTCCTTGTAGGCCAATTCCCCTGCTCCCCTCTGTACTAGTTCTTGTCATTGTCAGTTTTTTTTTTTTTTTTCACTTTTTTTTTTTTTTTTTTTACAGGCAGAGTGGACAGTGAGAGAGAGAGACAGAGAGAAAGGTCTTCCTTTGCCGTTGGTTCACCCTCCAATGGCCGCCACCACTGCTGCGCTGCGGCCAGCACACTGCGCTGATCTGATGGCAGGAGCCAGGTACTCATCCTGGTCTCCCATGGGGTGCAGGGCCCAAGCACCTGGGCCATCCTCCACTGCACTCCCTGGCCACAGCAGAGAGCTGGCCTGGAAGAGGGGCAACCGGGACAGAATCCGGCGCCCCGACCGGGACTAGAACCCGGTGTGCCGGCGCCGCAAGGCAGAGGATTAGCCTAGTGAGCCGCGGCGCCAGCCCATCATTGTCAGTTATTGAAGTTTCCAGGGTCCAGCTAGTTTCCTCATGTAGAACATTTCTTTGGGGTAGAATAGTAGATAACAAACCTATCATATCTATGTCACTGATTTGTTGAGGATGAAAAGAAACTTTGGCAGCCATAGAGCATTCTGCAGGTACACGTAGTTTTAAATTAGGCCCATTTAAGCTGTAGAAAGTTTGGAAGATGCCTGTTGTGAGTTACAAGGATACATGATTACCGTTTTTTATACTTCTACCTTTTACATGCTTTTTTTTTTTAACCCCGAAATCTTTAAAAATTTCTTTTCCTCAATTGTTACGCTGTTAATTGAAAAGCAGTTTTATGTTTTTCAAATACTGTAGTCCCTTACAGATTTCTGTGATAGGATTTTTTTTAAAGCCTAGATGATGAACTGGATTCTTTCCATGATTTGAAGAAACGGGAAATGGAAGAGGAGTTCACTGAGAAGGATCATAAAGTTAGTACCTCCAAGTCAACCAAGCAGTCATTTAGAGAAATCGAGAAAGGTAAAAAATGCTCATTTTAGAGCCATCATTTAAGTAGTAAATTTGTCAAATAGAGCACTAAGGCTAACGTCCTAGTGAGAACACTGGGAAGTCCTCACGAGCCCTTTGTTTGTAAGTCACTGTGCTCACTGCCAGACTGAAGGAGAAAAGAAAGGGAAACTTTATTATTTTTTTTAAAAGATTTATTTATTTATTTGAAAGTCAGAGTTACGCAGAGAGAAGGAGAGGCAGAGAGAGAAGAGTCTTCTATCCACAGGTTCACTCTCCAGTTAACCGCAATGACTGGTGCTGTGCCGATCCAAAGCCAGGAGCCAGGAGCTTCTTCTGGGTCTCCCACTCGGGTGCAGGGGCCGCAACTCGAACCGGCACCCATATGGGATGCCTGCACTGCAGGTGGCGGCTTTACCCACTATGCCACAGCCCAGGCCCCAGTGAAGCTATTCTTAGATTCTTTTTTTTTTAAACAGGCAGAGTGGACAGTGAGAGACAGACAGAAAGGTCTTCCTTTGCCGTTGGTTTACTCTCCAATGGCCACCACGGCTGATGCACTGCAGCCGGCGCGCTGCGCTGATCTGAAGCCAGAAGCCAGGTGCTTCTCCTGGTCTCCCATGGGGTGCAGGGCTCAAGCACTTGGGCCATCCTCCACTGCACTCCCTGGCCACAGCAGAGAGCTGGACTGGAAGAGGGGCAACCGGGACAGAATCCGGCGCCCCGACCGGGACTAGAACCCGGTGTGCCGGCGCCGCAAGGCGGAGGATTAACCTAGTGAGCCGCGGCGCCGGCCGTAACCTTAGATTCTTGAAAGCTTACCAAAATAAGTTAATAATTAGCCAAATTTTTTTGTCTTTTTTTCATGTTAGTATTTGTCAGAAGTAAGTAAATCATTTGTGGTAATATTTGACCAACCCTAATATTTTGAGAAAATATTCCATGTTAAGTATGGCTTCCTCAGCACTGAGCTACTGACAGTTCTCTGTGTTCCTGGCCACACGTCATAGTTTTGTCAGGATTTCAGGAAAGAGGCAACCAGAGGTGGCATCTTTTGCCCTGTTGGGTGTAGGCTGAGAGCACTGTTGCCCATTGGTGGCACTGGTGCAGCCTCTTCTCCTGGGTCTGTCCATTTCCCATGTCCCTCTCTTCATCCCTGTAGCCCCTTTTGTCTCAGTATTTGAGGACAGTGAAAATTAATTCAGCCTGGATTTATCTTTCCCACCAAAAACAAAGGATAAGCTGTAAAAAAAGAAAACTTGAATGTATTTGAATGTTGATAAAAAGATAAGAAATTCTCAGGTCAGGGATTGGTGAAGTGGGAACCAAATGGAGGGTCTTTCACTTTTAGGGCACATGCTGAGATTAGAGAAGTGAAACATTTTTAAAATTCATATATTTAATTTTTTCTCATTCAGGGTCTGTTAGTAATGGAGGATATAATTAAGAGACCCCCTGATTTTTTTTTAAGATTTATTTTATTTATTTGAAAGGCAGAGTTACAGAGAGGAAGAGAGAGAGCTTTTATCCATTGGTTCACTCCCCAAATGACCACAAGAGTTGGGGCTGTTCCAGGACCCCAGGAACTTCTTCCAAGTCTCCCACGTGGCTACAGGGGCCCAGCAACTTGGTTCATCTTCTGGTGCTCTCCCGTACACATTAGCAGGGAGCTAGATCGGATGTGGAGCACCTGGGACTCAAACCAGCGCTGATAGTGATGCCGCCATCGTCACAGGGTGTGGCTTTACTCGCTACTCCATTACGCCAGTCCCAACTCCCTGCTTTTGAAGCTGGGGCTCCCAGGAGGTTGATGCAAAGTAAAACCACTGAGAGAGAGCATTCCCTATTTCATTTATTAGCGAAAACCAAACAGTAATGATTCATGGTAGCTGTATAAAGCAAGAGGAACTTACTCAGCCATTACTGTTAGAAGAGTAAATTAACGTAACTGTTTTTGGAATAAATATGGCACTACTGGTAAAGCTGACTGTGTCATATACCCTGTGATCCAATAGTTTTGCTACTTAAATACACATACATATATATTTAATTTTCACTTTTATTTGAAAGAGAGAGAAGAGAGCTCTTCCATCCCCTAATTCACACTCCAAAAGCCCACAATAGCTGGAGTTGGGCCAGGCCAAAGCCAGAAGCCTAGAACTCAGTCTGGGTCCCCCATGTGGCACTAGTAACCCAAGCACCTGAGCCTTCATCTGCTGCCTTCCAGGTGTGAACTAGCAGGAAGTTGGAATCAGAAGTGGAGACGGGTCTCACACTGAAGCACTCCAACATGGGATATGGATATCCCAGGTGACCTCTTAACCACACAGCCAAATGCCTTCGCCTGTTTCCTATTTTGTTACTATTTATATTACTAGAGAAACTCTTGAATACCAGCAGCTGTGTACTGTGTAACAGTTTAAAGACTCATCTGTAGGAGAATGTCATCATAGGATAGAGCATTAAAGATATGTGAACCCATTATTCTGACCAAAACAAGAACTTTAAAAGATAACGTAGAAACTTACAAGACAATGATTAATGCCATTTCTGAGTTCGTGGTTAATTTGGTTTAGGGAGAGAGAGGAAGGTGATCAGGGGTTTCTGAAGTAACTTTCCATTTGTCAGCCTTGGCAGGTAATACATGAGTGCTTTCATGCAATTTAAAATGGATAGTTTGAAGTAATTTCAAACTTACAGAAAAGTTGCAGAAAGAATGGCAGGAATTCCTGCATATTCTTCACCTAAATTTTCTAAATTTGATATTTTTGAAATATTTGCTACAACAGTCTCTCTCGAAACCTTTTTTTTTTTTTTTAATGGCATTTATTTATTTAAAAGGCAGAGTTACAGACAGAGTAAGAAATCTTCATCTGCTGGTTTGCTCCCCTACTGGCCAAGGCTGGGCCAGGCTGGGCCAGGCTGAAGTCAGAGCCTGGAACTTGATCTGGGTCTCCCTCCATGGGTGGCAGGGGCCCAAGGACTTGGGCCATCTTCTGCTGCTTTCCCAGGTACTTCAACAGGAAGCTGCATCAGAAGTGAAGTACAGGGGAGTTCAACCAACACCCAACACCCACAAGAGATGATAAGACTATGGGTATTGCCTTAACCTGCTGTACCACAGTACCAGCCCCAAAACTTTGAAGCAATACTGTAATTCACATATAAAACAGCTCTACCTGGAGGTTATTCTGGGAATGTTTACAACTGTCAGTAAAGTTTACAATTCAAATTTTATTTTCTTTGCAGTTGCACCGCTAACTAATTTGGCCTCAGTAAGGCCTCGGACTGAATGTGGTAGTGATACAAGTGACTCTCCACTGAAACATGCCCATTACCCAAAATCTAAAGCATCAAGCAAGCAGAGTTTACGTCCACATCAGATCAATCAGATATATGATGAATTATTTCAGATACATCTTAAACTGCAGGTAAGAACTAAATACTGCATTGATAATTGAGTTATGTTCTAAAGACCAAGCATTTATAAAATTTGAATATCAGATATTTTGTCATAATTATTTTGTAACAAGTAAGTCAAGGCAATGTCAGAAGGGAACAAACAATATATAGGAACTGTTGAAGGGACAAATGTAGTGGCTGAGAGAAAAATATAAACAGTGAAAAATATAAATGCACAATGTCTATTTGAAATTCTCATTAGAAACACATATATACATGAAGTAAATACTTTTTAAAAAGTATCTCATTTTGTCAAAAAAATCAGGTTATAATTAGCATAGTATTTGTAAAAAAAAAAAAAAAATTCCACCTAAAATCACCAGGGAAAAGTTTAGGGAGAGACTTAGCCTTGTCCTTGGCTGAGAGAACTGAAGAGGAGAACAGTCAGGAGGGCATTCGGGTACGAGGATCTTGGAAGTGAGAAGTTATAGGAAAGGAATGATTGTCGGTTTGTGACTTGAACATCTGCTGGGAAACAAAACTGTTTCACAGGGGTGTGTTGTTTTGTTCTAATTTTCTTCGAGAGTAGAGAAGCAGATAGAGCTCCTATCCACTGGTTTACTCCCAGATACCAGCAACTACTGGGGCTGAGGCTGAGCCTAGAGCCAGGAACTCCATCCAGGTCTCCCGTGTGGGTAGCAGGAATCCAGTTATACCTTAATCATCACTGCTTCCTCCAGGGTCGACACTGACAGGAGGCTGGAGTCAGAAACTTGAGCTGGGAATTAGACCAGGGACTCTGATGTGGGATGTGTGTGTGTTAACTACAAGGCTAAATGCCCACTCCATATTTTATAAGTTTTTAATCAAAGGACAGAGTGAAAAACAGGAATGTCTTTTGAGAACACCTAATAGTATAGAAAGAGAGTAGGATAACAAGGATAGATCTGTGATCTGCGCAGAATGCACAATAAAGATATAAGTATTTAATAAATAAATGAAGTACAGTGGATTAGTCTGATTCAATTGATCTGCAGTTTAACTTTTTTTTTTTTTTTTGGACAGGCAGAGTGGACAGTGAGAGAGAGACAGAGAGAAAGGTCTTCCTTTGCCGTTGGTTCACCCTCCAATGGCTGCCGCGGCTGGCGCAGCACGCTGATCCGAAGGCAGGAGCCAGGTGCTTCCTCCTGGTCTCCCATGGGGTGCAGGGCCCAAGTACTTGGGCCATCCTCCTCTGCACTCCCAGGCCACAGCAGAAAGCTGGCCTGGAAGAGGGGCAACCGGGACAGAATCCAGTACCCCGACCGGGACTAGAACCTGGTGTGCCAGCGCCACAGGTGGAGGATTAGCCTATTGAGCCATGGCGCCAGCCTGCAGTTTAACCTTAAAGTTGAAAACCGACATTGTGACAATTCTAAAAATTTAATGACAACTGAAAATTGTAACATTGTGTTAGAGTTGTTATTAAGCATATAAATTTCTGTTATGCTGTGTGATTTCATTAATTCAACAAATGGAAGGAGGGTCTTCAAAAAATTTTTTAAAACATGTATTATGAAAAAAACTATACATGGGACTCAGAATATTTTTACATCACAACCAACTTTTAATTCCATTTCCATATACTTTTTGAAGTCTCCTATTATTTATCCGTTAATATGCATTTGTGTGCTCATTGCTGAGTATAGAAAAGTAAATAAAATATATGTATCCGTTTTTACATGTAGTGCCCATATAGTTAAAGTTTTATAAATTTAAGTGAAGGAGTTATAAAGGTGTAACTCACATACCTGATTGGGAGCCATTGAGAAGTAAGGTCTTTCTAAGACTGTAACTTGTAAGTTAAACCCTGAAGAATGAATAGGGGTTGGCCCAGTGCAGGCTGTACATTCTAAACTGAGACATTCTGGTATGACAAGGTCTGAGACATGATAAATTAGCATAGTCTTTCAAGAAAAATACGAGGGGACTTCGAAGATTTCCTGAAAAAATGTAGTGAAAAGATATATTTATTTTGTTCTAAAAGTATTTGGTGATATACATAGTTTTCATACTATGCATTTTCCGTGAACTTTTTGAAGATCCCTCCTATAGTAGGTAACGTTTTTTAAAGCAGGGAAGTTGCAAAATCTAATGGGATAAAATAAATGCTGGGGGATAATGTGGAATTTAGGAGACCAGATAAGATATTATTGCAGCAACCCAAGGTGAGATACAATGGTAACTTAGTTGGGTGTGGCAGAGGAATAGAATAGATGAGGGAATTATCGTGGATGTAAAATTGGTTGGACTAACAGAATAAATCATATGAGGCACAGGGAGAGCAAGGTATAAGCTGGTTCCCACACTTCGGGCTTGTGCAAATTGGAAGAAGAACTGATTTCAGGAGAAAGGCCAGGATTTTAGTCTGGCACAGGTTTGAAATCAGCTGGCAGTCAGAATGCAGTCTCGCAGACATTTGAGAGTCACCTGCATGCAGGCTAGTATTTACAGCTATCACTAGTAGTAGAGCTCTGGGAAGGGTAGGATGTGAAGATGTGGTAGTAGTCTGCTGATGTCCTGGGTAGGATTGGGGCCTCAAGGATGTGGAGACGTGGATGGATTCTACAAGTGTCTGAGAAGAGATTATAGGATTTGGAGATATTTTGGATTTGAGAAGTACGCTGTAGGGTTCAGTCAAGGACAAAATGTAGGATTGTTTTGGTGGTGGTAGGGTTGCAAAAATTGTGTTGCTTTTCGCTGAGATAGGGAACTAAATTGGAGGAGAAGAGGATCAGTTCGTTTCTTTTTAATTCTTAATGTTAATTTTTGGTGTATGAAATTTTTAATTGATTATTTTTTTAAAAGATGTATTTATTTGAAAGGCAGAGTTAGAGGGGCGGCAGAGAGAAAGGTCTTCCATCTGCTGGCTCACTTTCCAAATGGCCACAGTGGCCGGGGCTGGACCAGGCCAAAGCCAGGAGGGGCAGGGGCCCAAGCACTTGGGCCATCCTCCGCTGCCTCCCCAGGCACAGTAGCAGGGAGCTGGATCAGAAGTGGAGCAGCCAGAACTAAAACTGGTGCCCATATGAGATGCTAGTGTTTTAGGTGGTGGCGTTACCCACTCTGCTACAGTGCCATCCCCAAATTATTTTTAATATATTCAGCATTGTGACCCATTTAAAAATATTTCAGCACCCCACCCTTATTCCTAGAAATCACTGCATATTTCTCTCCAAATTCCCCTAGTTCTTGGCAAACACTAATCTACTTTCTGACTCTATAAATTTGTTGATTCTGAGTTTTTTCTTACAAATTGAATAATACAATTTGTGTTTGTGTGTTTTAAGATTTGTTTGTTTATTTGAAAGGCACTGTTAGAGAGATCTTCCACCTGCTGGTTCACCCCGCAAATGGTTGCAATGGCCGGGCCTGGACTGGGCTGGGCTGAAGCTGGGAACCCAGAGCTGCTTTTGGGTCTCCTACATGGTTGCAGGGGCCCAAGCACTTGGGTCATCTTCCATTGCTTTCCCAGGTGCATTAGTAGGGAGCTGGATGAGAAGTGGAGCAGCCTAGTCTCAAACCAGCACCCATATGGGATGCTGACATCGCAGGCAGAGGCTTACCTTACTATGCCACAACACCAGCCCTAGTATGTGATCTTTTGTGACTGGCTTAGCATGATATTTTCAAGGCTTATGTTGTAGGATGTAGTATGCTTTTTATTGTTGAATAAAATCTAATTATATAAATACACCATGTTTTGTTTCCCTGTTCCTTAATTGTTGGGTATTTGGGTTGTTGTCAGTTGTTGGCTGTTAGGACTGGTTCTGCTGTACATTCATGTTTTTAAGTGTCAGGTGGATGCAAGCTTTCAGTTCTTTGGGTGTATACCTGGTGGAGTACCTGAGTCATATGACAGCTTTCACTTTCTGAGGAGCTGCCAGATTGTTTTCCAAAGTGACTGTACACAATGTATGATGCTTCCAGTTTTTCCACGTCCTTACCAATGCTGGTTTCTGTTTTGATTCTAACCACCCTGGTGGGTGTGAAGTGTTATTGTGTATGGTTTGTATTTTCCTGATGTCCAGCTGAATTCAGTTTTGGACATATTTATTTTGTGATAACCTGAAAACATATGAGTAGAGATGTTAAATTGGCAGTTTGGAGTGTGAGAGGAAGGTCTGAGCAGGTGTAGGCTGGAAACAGTTAGAATGTGAATGCTAATTTTAGCTGGTGAATGGATGTAACCAAGTAGACAAAGTGGAGAATGAGAAGGGAAATGGCCTAAGCCTAAAACCTGAGGAACATTAATAATTAACAGTAGAGAAAGTAGAGCCTGCAAAGGAATCTGAGAAGCCATAGCCGGAGAGGGTGGTGGGAAACCAGGAAGGTGTGGTGTCATGGAAGCCAAGGGGAGAGAGTTGTTCAAGCTGGAGGAAAATGATAGTATAAAATGCTGCTGAGAGACCCAAAATAAGGACTGAAAATAATCTTGGGATTTCATTTCAGTAGGGCCTGTGGACTGAAGCCAGATTAAAATGAAGTGAGAGTGATTGGGAGGTTATAGACATGGGATCAGCAAGTGTAGACAACAGTTTAAAGTTTGGTGAAGAATGCAGGGACATGAATACATAGGGCCAAAAAGATTTCATTTCACATGGCGTAGGGGAGATTGATGCAGGGGTAATCAGTAGAACAGCCTCCACCGTGAGCTCATGGCAGTGAGAGCCTGAGCCTACCTGTGTAATGAGGGGTAAGGAGAAATGTGCGTATGCTTCTTGTGGGCAGCAGATTGATGGTTCTTTCTGTTGCCTTCTGTTTGCCCTGTGACCTTAGAGAACAGGTATCCAAAGAGTGCTGCAGGGAGAGATGTGTTCAAAATTAGTAGAGTGGAGAGGATTTGATATAGATGCTGTGGAGAATGGAGAAGGAGCTGACTGTGAATGTAGAGAGAGTTCTGGACTGCTTTGGGAACCCAGTAGAAGATTCAGACCATGAACTCACAGTGGTGCCACTCTTCACTGTGCGTGACGTGACTCTTCTCCAGGACTATTTAGTGATGGAGCACCAGGGCAGAGAAGGTGGTCAGGGCATGGGGGTCTTTCTGATAGACACCAAGGTAAGGGAGTAGAGGGTGTAGGTGTTTTAGGGGAACATGAAGGGAAAGCAGAGAGAATGGCTTTTAACTTAGTTTGGGAATCAGTTCTCTGTAGTTCTGATCCAATTTGCACCCAGATTCTCTTTTGAGTCATCATGGCGGAATCTTAGTATAGTGTCATTATTTCACAAGATAGAATTTCTGTAAGTTTTCTTGCTGTATTAGTCTAGCTGCTACTGTAATCCAGACCTACCTTTACTCATGTATTTCTGAAAGTCATTTGGTTAAACCACAGTGTCAAAAATGAAAAAGTAAGTTGCAGATTTGTGAATTTTTTTAAAAGCACTTAAATGTGGAATTCTGATAACAGTGTGAAACTACAGCGCAACAGAAATTTGCTGAAGAACTTCAAAAGCGAGAACGTTTTTTAGTTGAGAGAGAACAACTGCTTTTCAAACATGAAACTGCCCTGAGTAAAATTAAAGGTGTTGAAGAAGAGGTTCTTACAAGATTTCGCATTATAAAGGAGGTAATTACTTAGCCTTTTATTGCAGCAGTACTTCTCCCTTTTTCTTAATATTTTGCCACATTTGCTTATTTCTTCTTCCTTTCCTGCTCCTCCTCTGTTCACCCCCGCGTACATTATTTTCTGAACCCTTTGAAAGTAATTTGCAGTAATAATGGCGTAGTATCCCAGAATACTTCATTGTGCATCTCCTAAGAATAAGGGCATTGTCCATTTCATTGTCATATCAGGAAATCAGTGCTAATTAAATAATGTAACTCAATATATGTCTACATTTACTTCCCACTTGGTGCCCAAATTGTCTTTTTATAATTTTTTTGCTTTATTTTCTGATTGGGAAACTAGATAGGATTCACATGTTATATTTGGTTGTTAATCTTTCTTTGTTTCTTTACAACTAGAGCACTCATCCTCACTGTTTTTTGCCTTTTTTTCCCAAGATTTATTTATTTATTTGAAATGCAAACTTACACAGAGAAGGAGAGGCAGAGAGAGAGAGAGAGGTCTTCCATCTGCTGATTCACTCCTCAGATGGCCACAATGGCAGGAGCTGCACCTATCTGAAGCCAGGAGCTAGGAGCTTCTTTTGGGTCTCCATGCAGGTGCAGGGGCCCAAAGATTTGGGCCATCTTCTGCTGCCTTCCCAGGCCACAGCAGAGAGCTGGATTGGAAGTGGAGCAACCAGGATTAGAATCAGTGCCCATGTAGGATGCCAGCACTGCAGGGGGCAGCTTTATCCACTCTGCCACAGCACTGGCCCCTGCGGTTTTTTTTTTTTTTTTTTTTTTATCTTTTATTTAATGAATATAAATTTCCAAAGTACGACTCATGGGTTACAATGGCTTCCCCCCCATACCGTCCCTCCCACCCACAGCCCTCCCCTTTCCCACTCCCTCTCCCCTTCCATTCACATCAAGATTCATTTTCGATTATCTTAATATACAGAAGATCAGCTTAGTATACCTTAAGTAAGGATTTCAACAGTTTGCTCCCACACAGAAACATAAAGTGAAAAATAATAGATGATTTTTTTTTAAATGATGATGAAATCAGAGCAGACCTATTGTCATGTTTAATCCCAGTGAGAGTCAAGTTGGGAATTGATAATTTCTTCTTCTTCTTTTTTTTTTTTTTTTACAGAGGATCAGTTTAGTGTACATTAAGTAAAGATTTCAGTCGTTTGCACCCCCATAGAAACACAAAGTGAAATATACTGTTTGAGTACTCGTTATAGCATTAAGCCTCAATGTACAGCACATTAAGGACAGAGATCCTACATGAGGAGCAAGTGCACAGTGACTCCTGTTGTTGACTTTACAAATTGACACTCCTGTTTATGGCATCAGTAATCTCCCTATGCACCAGTCATGAGTTTCCAAGGCTATGGAAGCCCCTTGAGTTCTCCGACTCTTATCTTGTTTAGACACGGTCATAGTCAGAGTGGAGGTTCTCTCCTCCCTTCAGAGAAAGGCACCTCCCTCTTTGAAGACCTGTTCTTTCCACTGGGATCTCACAGAGATCTTTTTGCCAGAGTGTCTTGGCTTTCCATGCCTGAAATACTCTCATGGGCTTTTCAGCCAGATCCGAGTGCCTTTAGGGCTGATTCTGAGGCCAGAGTGCTATTTAGGACATCTGCCATTCTATGAGTCTGCTGAGTATCTCACTTCCCATGTCGGATCACTCTCCCCTTTATTTATTCTATCGGTTAGTGTTAGCAGGTACTAGACTTGTTTATGTGCTCCCTTTGACTCTTAGTCCTTTCATTATGATCAATTGTGAACTGAAATTGATCACTTGGAATAGTGAGATGGCATTGGCACATGCCACCTTGATGGGATTGAACTGGAATCCCCTGGTATGTTTCCAACTCTACCAATTGGGGCAAGTCAGCCCGAGCATGCCCCAAATTATACATCTCTTCCCTCTCTTATTCCCACTCTTATGTTTAACAGGGATCACATTTCAGTTAATTTTCAACACTTAAGAATAACTGTGTGATAATTACAGAATTAAACCAGTCATATTAAGTAGAACAGACAAAAAAAACTATTAAGAGGGATAATGTATTAAGTTGTCCATTAGCAGTCAGGGCTATGCTGATCAAGTCACCATTTCTCATAGTGTCCATTTCACTTCAGGAGGTTTCCTTTTTGGTGTTCAGTCAGTTGTCACCGATCAGGGAGAACATATGGTATTTGTCCCTTTGGGACTGGCTTACTTCACTCAGCATGATGTGTTCCAGATTCCTCCATTTTGTTGCAAATGACTGGATTTCGTTGTTTCTTACTGCGGTATAGTATTCTAAAGAATACATATCCCATAATTTCTTTATCCAGTCTACCGTTGATGGACATTTAGGTTGGTTCCAGGTCTTGGCTATTGTGAATTGTGCTGCAATAAACATTAGGGTGCAGACCGCTTTTTTGTTTGTCAATTTAAACTCCTTTGGGTAAATTCCAAGGAGTGGGATGGCTGGGTCAAATGGTAGGGTTATATTCAGGTTTCTGAGGAATCTCCAGACTGATTTCCATAGTGGCTTGACCAGTTTGCATTCCCACCAACAGTGGGTTAGTGTCCCTTTTTCCCCACATCCTCGCCAGCATCTGTTGTTGGTAGATTTCTGTATGTGAGCCATTCTAACCGGGGTGAGGTGAAACCTCATTGTGCTTTTGATTTGCATTTCCCTGATTGCTAGTGACCTTGAACATTTTTTCATGTGCCTGTTGGCCATTTGGATTTCCTCTTTTGAAAAATGTCTGTTGAGGTCCTTGGCCCATCTCTTAAGTGGGTTGTTGGTTTTGTTTTTGTGGAGTTTCTTGATCTCTTTGTAGATTCTGGTTATTAACCCTTTATCTGTTGCATAGTTTGCAAATATTTTTTCCCATTCTGTCGGTTGTCTCTTCACTCTCCTGACTGTTTCTTTTGCAGTACAGAAACTTCTCAATTTGATGCAATCCCAATAGTTGATTTTGGCTTTGACTGTCTGTGCCTCCCGGGTCTTTTCCAGAAATTCTTTGCCTGTGCCAATATCTTGAAGGGTTTCTCCAATGTTCTCTTTTTTTTTTTTTTTTTTTACAGGCAGAGTGGACAGTGAGAGAGAGAGACAGAGAAAAGGTCTTCCTTTTGCCGTTGGTTCACCCTCCAATGGCCGGCGCGGCCGGCGCGCTGCGGCCGGCGCAGCGCGCTGATCCGATGGCAGGAGCCAGGAGCCAGGTGCTTTTCCTGGTCTCCCATGGGGTGCAGGGCCCAAGCACCTGGGCCATCCTCCACTGCACTCCCTGGCCACAGCAGAGGGCTGGCCTGGAAGAGGGACAACCGGGACAGAATCCGGCGCCCCGACCGGGACTAGAACCCGGTGTGCCGGCGCTGCAAGGCAGAGGATTAGCCTAGTGAGCCACGGCGCCGGCCTCCAATGTTCTCTAATAACTTAATGGTGTCAGGCAGAATGGACAGTGAGAGAGAGACAGAGAGAAAGGTCTTCCTTTGCCGTTGGTTCACCCTCCAATGGCCGCCGCGGCCAGCGCGCTGTGGCCGGCGCACCACGCTGATCCAATGGCAGGAGCCAGGTGCTTTTCCTGGTCTCCCATGGGGTGCAGGGCCCAAGCACTTGGGCCATCCTCCACTGCACTCCCTGGCCACAGCAGAGAGCTGGCCTGGAAGAGGGGCAACCAGGACAGAATCTGGTGCCCTGACTGGGACTAGAACCCGGTGTGCCGGCGCTGCAAGGCGGAGGATTAGCCTAGTGAGCCACAGCGCCGGCCTGTTTTTGTTTTTTATGAGAATTATCTTTGAAGAGTCCAGGCAGCAGTCTTGTAGAATATGTTATGTCCTGGATTTTCCTGTTTCCTAAAGATAGTGTTCACATTACATGTCTTTGGCAAGGGTATTATATAGGTGGCATAACCCTACTTTGCTTCAAAACAGATATGATGTAACTTACATGGAGAAGAATTCATTCTGTTTGTTATACATTTCTGTGAGCTTTGAAAACTGCATTCGGTTTTGTAATCATCCCCATACTCAAGATAAGGAATCGTGCCAACACTCCTGCAGTGCCCTTACACCCACTTTCCCCGTGCTCAGCCCATGCAACCACTGATCTGTTTTCTCTCCCTGTAGTTCTGCCTTTTTCAGAATGTCACGATTTTTCTTTATCTTTGATTTTTAGCAGCAGTTCAGGTATGATGTATCTTGGCATGCTTTTCTTTGAATTTTTCCTGTGTTTTACTGAGCTTCTAGAATTTGTCCACTTCTGTCAAGTTTGGGGGAGCTTTAAGCCTATTTTCCTTAAAATATTTTTCTGTTCCAATTACTTTTTTCTCCTGCAACTCCTAGTTATTCCTTGTGCTATTAACCCCGCAGATTTCTGAGGCTTTTTTTCCCCCCATATTTTTCTTCTCTGTTCTTTGAATCTGGAACACTCAACCTTACGATTTTTGTTGGATCATTTCTCTCGATGTGTCTTTAGGTTCACTATTCTCTTTGTTTTTTAATCTCTGGGTTGCTGTTGAGCTTACTTAATGAATTTTTATTTCTGATATTTTAAAGTTCTAAAATTTCAAGTTATATTTAGAAATGTATTTTTGTTATTCTCATAAGAATTTCCTAACATTTCTGTTCACCTTATGGAAAGTAATTAACCTAACATCTGAGTCAGATTGGTGGCTGTTGGTTGTTTTTACAGCTTACACTTTTTTTTAATTTTTATATTCAATACTTTTTGGATTGTGTTCAAGTTCCTTGGTTTTATCACATTATGTAAATCTGGGTCCTGTTATTATTCTCTTGGGGATTTTTTTTTATTAAGATATATATATATTTAAAGATTTATCCTATTTATTTGAAAGGCAGAGTTAGAAAGAAAAAGAGATACATCTGTTGGTTTACTCCCCAAATGGCTGTGATGGTTGGGATTGGCCCTGGCTGAAGCCAGGCTGTGTTTGGTCTGTTCTATCCTGTGCCTGGGTCATTCTAGGGTGCACCTGATTTCTATAGGTTCTAAG